AAGATGACTGGTTTAGAAAGCGATCAAGTTTTTAGTGTGGTGGAAAGACAGCATGCTAGAACTATATAACTGAAATACTAGCCTTTCAGGACATACATAAGTATGTACATGTTATTGAAAAACTTCCAATTTAAACCTGACTGTATTTTTTAAAATACTGGACTTACTCGTGACCTGACTTCTTGAAGTATCTATTCACTTGTTTCTCGATTGTGGCAATCTGAATGCATCTGGCAGAGAGGGATTTTGAACATCAAAGTTCTTAGGTTTTTTCTTGCTAAGGAGTTTTCCTGCTGTGGCAAATGCCTTGCTATGAATTCCTTTCCAGATGATTAGTACTTTCCGTAGTATATTACTGCTGCCGTCCTTTGCTAAGTTTTCCCTGTTATCCCATAAAAATGGTACCATCTCTGGTATGTAGGCACAATTTGTTTATTCTTAAGTTAACTATCATTCAATGTTAGGCAAATGCCTCAAATATTATTATTTTTTTTAATTAATGGCAAAATAACCATGGAGTTATTGTGAAAATGACACTTGTTTTGAGGAAGCTCTGGCTACTATATCCCAGGGCATTACTTTATAAGGAATGCAGGAAATGGTCTGACTTGTTATCATTGCTTCTGTATTTAGTGCTTGGACTCTAGGGAATTTATGTGCACTGATTTGTGATAACTACAAAGTATTTCTTAAGAATGAGTTACCAAATAATACGTTCTGTGCTTAACAAGCACTGGAACAAATTATAAATAGAATGTTAAAACCCTTGGGTTTTTTGAAAACTCATCTTAAGTAGAGAAGAATGTTAACATGTACATGAGCAGATGGTGAGATTACCTCTGCTTAAGGTAACGGGATTTATTTCTAATAAAGTCATCCTTGCTTGTTAAGGTACTCTTTTAGATTTTTGGGAGGCTTTGTCCTCGTAGAGATATAATATCCTGTATTGATTCTTCTGAAGTTTCTTACCAAACACCTATAAATTCCTCATTAGAAAAAAAAAACCAAACAATCCACCTCTTAATGGTTCAATTTTATTTATTTACTAGATTAGTGCATATGTAAATATGTTTTTGTTCTTTTATGTAAGCATCTGTAAGTGAAAATCTGTTTTGAAATTAATTTCCATTCCATGTGTAGGCTTGGATCTGAAGGAGGTGGTCAGACATCTTGCTGTTTCTTGATTCTTGGTATTAATAAAGCTTTGTTGATACATTACTTTTTTTTAAAGAGCATTTTAATCCTTTGAAATAATGAATAATGAGCAATTGTCAAATAAAATTACATAGCAATACTCAGGTACTTGGCTGAGCAAATAAATGCGTTTCAACTCTAAAGTTAATGCAAATTTGCTTCCAAGAAGGTGTTGCTCTTAGGGAAACTCTGCTAGTCTGGAGCCAGAGAAAGGTCTGCAGACTCACATCTGATCACATCTGATTGAATACTTAAAGAAAATACTGCTTAAAGTTAACTAGGTCACGCTGCAAGACACAGATTACCTTTCATCAAGCTATAGATAAATTGGGTGGTTGATATTTTTACATCTGCTTTCAAACAAATTTTGAAGCAGGCAGTTTGAGTTACTGCTAGGGCAGTGTAAATATGGGGACTTTGTATAAAGTATGAATGTGTCCATTTAATTTCAAATATAGGGGAGGAACAAGTGGTATAGGAATCTGTTTTACCACTTTGAAATTTCTGTTATAATTTCTTAAGTTGCTTCTAATTTTCCTTTTTTTTTAAAAAAAAACAAAAAAAGGGGGAAAGCATTTGACCCATTCTTTCAAGTGTTTGGAAGGAGAATTGTGTTCTTGAACAGATTGACAGTTGAAAACTGATTGTTACTCTTACTTAAAATAGCGTGCAGCAGTTGAGATGAGAACAGTCCTGACTAAGGATTACTTCTAGGTCTTCCCATGACTTCCAGTTCTTGCAAACTTCTTGTGAATTCTTATGGTAATGGCTCAGGTGTCTGTTTTTCCTGTTTCTGCGATTTGAATTGAATGTTTGAGAGGAGTTTCCTGCTGATGGATGGTCCAAATGGAATTTACCCTCCCCTTCATAAATGTTGGAGAATTTTAAATTCTCCTCACTCTCTGCCTTTGAACTTAAATGGCCACAAAGTCAGAAGCTCAAAGTGAAGCTAAACTTCTTATGTGGAAAATGTTAACTGATGCAGTGTAGTTAGCATTTAAAAGGAAGCCTGTCTTTGTTTTAATCATACTTGTGCCTAGGGAGCTTTTCTTCTGATGTTTTATCGTTTGAGTTTAGTGCTAAAAACTGGCACGCAGGATAAAATTTTGCTAAAAATATTGCAATTTTATCAATTTTTTTATCAGTTTTTAACTTCAAACCGTTTGAAAACTGCAGTCTGCTTTTGAATTTTGACAAATTTATATACTGATTTGGTTTTAGAAGTTTCTCAAGGACAGGACAGTGATCGAATTAAGTGTATGTATGTTGATAAGACTATCTTGCAAAAATGAAAGTAAAATTCCATTTTTAAGGTAACCACTGATAATATTCTTCTATCTTGAATGCTTGAAGTCAGTGGGCTTGTCAGTGCAAGTATGCAGTCATGTACTGACAAAAATGCAGCACTGTAATCTGAAATTGTAAAATAAGCAACTGTAGAGTGATTGTGGTTCTCTAGATGTTATGAATGAATGTGCTGCAATAGCTGTGCACCATGTTTCTGAGTGCTAAGGAATGTATGTTTATCTGCAGTTATGATGTTGTGGAACAGAGACTTCTTATGAGTAGGAGTCTGCTTGGTGAGTATGCAGATCAAAGCTTTCAATTTCAGCAGAAAAATAAGGCTTCCTACTTTTTAAGGAGCCAGAACTATTTTATATAGTTAATATAATGAATATAATCTTGATATTATTTTCCTTAAGAAAAATCACTTGCTGCTGTAATTATCAAGCAGCACCAGAATGCATTGACAGTTTTCTTCAAAGATGGAGCCCAAACAGTTCTGAATAGTCTCAGAAAGTAGATTCTATTCAAGGGTAGTTTTTCTTTAAATAAAATTCAGGAAAAAAAATCCTGCGGCTATTTAGAATCCTTAGGCAACAGCAGGACTGTGAAAACTGCAGTTACCTCATACTGCTGCTGCTTGGAAACACCAAGCAGGAATTATTGAGACGACTTCATAAGTCGTGGTGTTCTTCCATCTGAAAATTTGGCATAGCAATTCTACCCAGCCACAAGTTAATAAAGAAGTTAAAGCCTGCTTGGGTATCTAGTCAGTCTGAGCAGCTGGTGTAAAGTATGTTAGACTTCTTGTTAGGATGTTATCTGTGGCTAGTAGGCTTAGACCGTCTACAAAATACTCAATAAATCTTTAGAAGGCTTAGAATGCCTGTCCTGTGAACAGGAGGCTAGTAAATACCTGAATGGCACTGAAGGCCATAGCTGCTGTAAATGGGACCAGGGATCTGCACTGTCTATAAAGGAATCCAGCAAAAAAGTTTGGGGTTTGTTTTTATTAAACAATTCTCTGATCAGGTTCAACACTCAGCTGTGCAAATAGGCAGTAGATAGGACAGGGCTCCTTTGTAATGGCAATATTTGTGGCCTTAATGAATGTCAAACTCTGCAGCTTAATATATTGTATGGAAAAGGATCTGGTGTTTACTTTTTTTCTGTAGAGTTCATCTGTGTTGGATATCATTATCTCGTGGAATGGATACATACTATTAACCTCCAAAGCTCTTCCTTAAGATTTTATTCCCCGGGACTTTAGTTGTGTGCTTTTCAGGATTTTGAACTTTATAAGTCTGTCACTGTTTCAGTCTTTCTTAAGACACCCTCTTTCATTTAAATCTTGTCTTGATACCTGTGACATCAGTCCTAGTTTAATACTGCTTTTTGAAAGGTTTCACCTGAATTTACGTTTTCAGACTCAGCTGAAATGTACAGAACCTCTTATACAGATGTCTGTCCTTCATAGTATAAGGCACTATAGAGAAGTAGATAAAACAAAGGCTTGGCCAGAACATTAAAGAATTTAAATAATCTGTTAAAAATCTATTAAGAATTTTGCTGTTTGTGGCAAGTTCACAGAAGCAGTCAGTTTATTTAAAGCATACGTCTCTGGTCTGATTGCAGGGCTGGGGGGGGAACCCTATCTCATGGTGTGAATAGCAAGGGGACATAAAGACAGACTGCTGAGTTTTTGACATTATTTACCGCAGAGAACTCTTTTAATTTGTAGATTGTTGCATGACTTAAACCCATGATGATTTACATCTAAAGGGCTCATCTAGTTCAGTGAAACTGTGTTTTAATGAGGATTGCTGTTTATGTAACTCTCCTAGCAGAAACTCATTATTCATGATTTTATCTTGCTACGTGATATGCATACTAGCTGTTGCTGGAAGACAACTTATCTCCTGGATTCAACTCTAACTTGTCTGTGTGTTAAAGCTGTAAAGTAGAAATAATATTGAAAAATAACATAGTTCCTGCAAGATTATTTTAATAAAGAGGCATAGATATCATGGTGAATACGGGAAGTTGTATAATAGTACTGAGCACAAGATTGGAATTAGAAAAATGTAAGATGTCACTTTCTTGGTGGTGGCCTTAAGGAAAAGTGACCTTTCAGAGTTTCTTCCCTTACGTAGCAGTGAATGACACTTTCTATAAGGGGCTGTTAAAGGGATTACTTCATGAGCAGCTGTACCTAAATCACTTATTTTGCTTGTCCAAGAAATAGCATTTGATAAGCACTATTTATCTTGTTAAGAGGGTAAAGTTCAATACTCTTTTCCAAAGGGGGGGAGGTCCTTCAGCATTATTATTGCCATCATAATCATGGTACAGTAGTTTCATACATCTATCATTTTTGTAATAAAAAGATTTGGTCTCTTTAAAATTTTATGTCCTGGGTTTCTGAAGGACATGTGCAACCTTGTCAGTTGTTGGTGTATGACTTAAAAGAAATCATACATGGATAACTACTTTGTCTTTCTAATGTTTCATTTCTGTTTCAGATCTGCTAAAGCTGCTCCAAGGCCAAGGGCAGTACAACCAGTACAAGGGAAGTGTTGCTTTTTCAAATGGACATCAGCTCTTGCGGTATGGCCCAGATATCCAGCAACAATGGATTTAAACAGCGGTCATCACCTTCTTTGGCAGCCACAAGGTCAAAAGATGTGGACAAAGAAGAGGCCTTGCAGATGGAAGCTGAGGCATTAGCTAAGATGCAGAAAGAGAGAGGTGTAGCTGGTAATAAACAAACGTTTCATTCTTTAAGCAGCACCAGACAAAAAGCACAGACTCATAACAAACAGGACCATGATCTCATGGTGTTTCCAGAGTCTGATGCCAAGAGCATGGAAGATAAACTAAGTACCATTGACATAGAAAAGCTCAGTCATGCTGAACTAGAGAAACTGCTGCTGGATGACAGTTTTGAATCTAGTAAAGTACCTACCTTACCCGTAAATCCTATTTTTAGCCCATCTGTGTCTTCACAATTTTATCTTGGGCCTATGGGTCAGAGAAGACAGTGGATGCCTGGGATACCAGCACCTGTGACATGCACTTTACCTCCTCTTTACCCCTCAGCTTCTTACACAAAACAGACTGCTATATTTCAGAATGGATTCCATCCAAGTATGTCCTCCTATCACTCTAGAGAACCTATTTATCTTGGTCTTCCAAGACAGTCGCAATACATTTCATACCCGCTGGCAGCTACTACACCTTTCCATCCACAAGGAGGAAGCCTACCTATGTATCCTCCAATACTTACACCAGAAATGGCAAAAGTATTTGACAAAATTGCAAGCACCTCAGAATTTCTGAAAAATGGGAAGTCGAGCACAGACTTGGAAATGACCGCTATAAAATCTGCAGTTTCTACCCTACCAGCCACAGAAAGCTGCAGGGATGTTAGTAAATTTGATTGGTTGGATTTGGACCCCCTAAGTAAACCAAAAGTGGATAGTGTGGAGACTTTGAATAAGGCAGAGAATGACGGAGAGAGTGCTTCAAGCATGACTGCTGAAGATCCTTGGGATGCTGTGCTGTTAGAAGAAAAGTTGTTAGTAACATGTCATCTGGAAAGAAAAGTTAATGGGAAATCTTCTGGAGCAACAGTTACAAGGAGCCAGTCCTTAAACATGCGAACAGCTCCACTTGCAAAGTCACAGGGCCAAACATCACAGGTATGTAAATCAGTATTTTTAAATTGCAGTATAATAATAAAGATTAATCACAATATTTTAAAGACACTTTAAGGTCTCAATTTGCTTATTAAATATTACTTGACTTGAGCAGTGTCCAAATAATGTGATATTACTTGTGATATTGAGAAACTTTTTTCTGCTGTCTCAGTACCATTTGCTGTCTTTCACAGAACCACTATAATTCTCTTTTGTAGGTAGGAATCTTTCCTTTCTGTGCAGAAATGCTAGAGATTGTTACTGAACCTTTTTGGTTATGTTGTCCTGGGTAGTGGGATGTCTGTACTTCTGTGTCAGAATCCCTGTACTTCTGTGCTGGAAGAAGGAAAACCATCTTTGTGTGATGTTACTTTTATCAGGCAGGGCAAAACAGTGATTTCTGCTCTTGGATTTGGATCACTTTCATCAAAATCTCAAGACTGAAATGCAACAGAGGTTTCAGTTATCACACACACCTCTTTGGACACTGATCACATACAGTTTGTATGAGAACTGAACTGTACAGAAGATAATCAATACTGTAGCAGTCTCATCTAGTTAATTATGCCCCCATAAGTACCCTTTTCCAATGTAAATGGAACAGTAAATGCTACTCTGCAGTAAATGACTGTAGATTAATTTTTCCTATCTTTTAAAATTCTTTCTGTGGTAATTCCATCATAAAACAAGATATTAAAAGAAGTTTTAAAATATTAGTCACCTCACTAGAAAGGGAATATGAATACTTCTGTAACTATTTTTTGGTAGAGAGAGTACAAAGGCTGGAGGAGAAGTCTTCAGTGGAAAAGTCAACACCCTGGGAAAGGTGATAATGGCAGGAAAAATGTTGTTTGTAGAAACTGGCTAAAGGGGGGGAGTAAAAGATTTGTTTGCCTTGAAGACTTCGGATTGTGGCTGTTTGGAATCTGATGTATTGTCTTTCTATGTGTTTTTAATAGACTAGGGACATGGCATAAAGAACAACTGTTATCAGTCAAGGATATTTTCCAAATGGCTTCTTAATTCTTCCTTCCCCTCCTAACTGGGGGAGGTTTTTTTCTCAGAAAAAGAAAGATTTACTAGACTCTGGCTTAAAGGGCTGTCTAAATTTCCATTGAAGTGAAATTTTTGGCCCCTCATTTGAAGGATTTCCTGTTTTTCTGGGCTAGTTGTCAGTGTTCTGGCAAAAGTTTAATAGGAGGCCAGTGGAGAAGGACCAAAATAAACCTAAACCCAAAAAAACCCTTTACCTCTTTTTTTTTTTAAAGGAATTGCATTTTTAACATTATATGTGTGAAGATCTTGGGTCTATCTTTGTTTTATTTTTTTCCACTCACTGTTGAGCTGTGATGTGTGAGCTCAGTTATTTCCTAGTATTTGGAGGGCCACGTAAACTTGGGCTCTTCAGCAGTTTGCTGCTTCAGTTTGTCACCTGATCCAGTGAGGTGTCTGTCAGTTTTCCACTGACCTTTGGTTGATTGTCATGTAACTATTGACTGGAATAGCTAGACTATATTGTATCAGTGTTTCTGTGTTGTCTGTAGAAAGTAATATTTCACTGTTGCTGAATGAAATATGTTTTTATAAATTCCAGGGTTTTTTCAAGAATGCAGGATTTTAAAGGATTTTTCCTGTTGGTCAGACTCAATCCCTGCTGTTTGCAGATCACATGTTAACTGGGTCATGAAATGCTGGAGTTTTACCTTCCCGTGTGGTCTTTTCCTCCTGCTACTTTTGATATAAAGGCTGTTCCAGACTCTCACTGTCCTCATCAGTCATCTAATTTTAAGTAGCAATGCGTTCGTAACTAGTTCTTTACTGATGTTCTTCTTAGCAGGATTTAAGATAAAGAACCATTTTGATGTTTACCTCAGCGTGTTATAAGTGACAGTGACTTTCTGTCAGCTTTCATTGGAAGCTCTCTGTGTAAGCTTTTCTTTCCTGTCACTTTTTTTTGAAGATGGCTCAAGAGAATTTTAGTTCTCTGTGTGAGAGCCCGGTGTACCATGTGCCTTGTAAAGTGGCGTGAATAAACCCTCATTACAGGTAGGGGCATCCTGCTTGATATGCTTTTATTGCATTTGCTTTATTTACGATGTCATCACAACAGTACCTACTGATCCTGTAGTCGATATACCTGATTTTCTTAAGCTGCCAGCTTTTTCTAAGAAGTTCTTAGTTTATAGCAGACTCCTGCAGTGAAAGCCCAATTGAGGGTTCAAGATATACTTTCTACTTTTGTTCCTCCAGTCTGTGGTTAACTAGTTTTGGCATAATATTCCAGTTCTAGTCTGTATTATAAAGTTAGCTGATGATACAAGATTATAAATTATCAGCAGGGGTGTTTCTGCTGCTTGTGATGAGTTAAAGAAGATAATAAATGGATCTAAATGTGAGTCTCTCAAAGAGCTATCCTTTCAACATGTGGCTTTTGCCCATCTTGTGCTACTACTTTGTTTTCTAGTTTAAATGATTTTTCCATCTGGTATAGTAGGAAGCTGAGTTATTTAGCCTCTATTTTTGGTAGTTCTTTTGTATTTTATCCCATTTACCTCCAGGTACATATTTCCTTCAAAGTATATTCTGAAGTCTTGCATCCTAACTAGTTTGCATCATTTTTTCCCCTGAATAACTCATAGCCTCGCTGCCCCTTTAAACAAAACTAATATCAAATCAAGAAATTGCTTAGAGTTGTCCTTCATTACTTGATGATATATCTATCTATTCAGTATTCCCCCTTATATACTTGAGTTTGTCACTCTCCTTTCTGAAAGCAGAGACAAAATCATAATTTTGTGCTATTTTAGGTGTTGTCTTCTCTACCTTTCCGCAGAGCTGAAGAGTCTTGTGGCTTTATATACGAGTGTAATTTAATTTAACTTGACTTTTGGTAATTTGCTGGGTTTTGGGTTTGTTCGTTATTGTTAACGGTAATTGTATTTGCAGACTGCTTCTATTTTTGCAAGCTATGCTGTTATGAACTACTTATCTAGTTTGGCTTGAAGTCCTTTCTTACAAGTTATTTCCTATTTGACTGATAGCTTTTGCACCTCTTAGATTTGCTCATCTGTAAGTTAAATTAAAATCCTATGTGTTGCTCAAACCCCTAATCTTCCAAGTCCAGTGGATCTCTTGATTTTTGTTAGTTTGTCAAACCTTGCCCTCCTGAAATTATCTTCCACAAAGTGATCAAAAGTAAGTATAGAAATTCAACTAAAAATGCAAGGAGGTAATGTTCTTAATTTTCCACCAGGAGGTAATTTCTACCAATACATATTTGTAGTAACATTAGGTTTCTTTCTTTAGCCAAATGTGACCCTGAGGCCAACTATGGGTAACCAAATAACCTTTTTTTTAATTATTTTTCTTTGCTCATTACATTAGAACTTATTGTTTATCCTGGCTAAGCTTGCGTGTGTACAAATGCCTTGTAGTTGCCTACACTACTTTGAATTTAACAGCAGAATAACCTGCAAATTGTACTGTAAATAGTTCAGAAGTGTCACACAGTAGCATCAAGTGGCAATGTTGAGTCATTGGTGTGACTTTAATCCCCTTGTGCAGTGCTTTTCTACTCTGGTTAGAATTGCAAAGCACTTTGAGTACTTGTAGTATTACTTAACTTTAAAAGGGTTTTTAAATAGAGAAAATTTAACATCTATGTAGCCAGCTTTTTGATCTGAAATTTTGAATTTTGTGTTGAGTGCTGACTAGCAGTTAGTTGAATCTTTATCAAAGGTGTTTACCTTTCACTTGGTATGTTAACTTCCTGTTTCCTTGTATGATTTTTTTGTTATTGTGTGATTGCTTAAAAAATACAGGTACTAGATACAGTTGCGCAGGTTTGTCAGCAGGTCTTGTGCAGTTGCCCAGAAGGATTTTTATGTGATAGAACTTGTCTGAGATGTTAGAATGGAAGAACCTTTTTAAATTCAAGGTAATATACGTGTTCCTGAATCTCACTCCAGGTTTTGTGGCTTTACAACTTCCTGCTCTAATAGTCCTTCCTGCTCCCATAGCCCATGGTATGGCTAATCCCCGATTATATAGAATTTATCCTTTTGAACTGATCAATGTTGATGAAGCCTGTATTTTAGCTGAAATAACTAGGTGTAGATGCAATTCAAGTGGCAATTATGGGTTGTGTGTATTATCCCTTCTTTATGCTGTACTGCTCAAACAACTTAATTGCAGCAAAAATAAATGCTAAAAGACCTACCTGACAGTCCCTAGCTGTGCATGTTACAGATTTGACCCATTTTCTGAGACAGTCTAATTTGACTGTGTTGTCTGATATGCTCTAATGAAATTAGATGCTCAGCTAACTTCGTCAGCTAATAATTAATAACCCACATACTAGTTAAGTAGTTATTCACTATTTCAAATATGAACAGGTTGTGATGATTTTCAGAACTATGGTGCAGTCCACTTTTCTTTTTTCTGGACTTCTGGGTGGATTAAAGATTTCTATAAGCATTCTAAAAGCTCTGGATGTAAAATGTAACTGGTCAGAAGTTATTATCCTCTGCAATGACCCTAGGTTGAATATGAGCAAAGGCTTCAAGATCAACTTATTCCAGGAAGTATTTGGCTGGAGTTTCATTGAGTGTTTCGGGCTAGTGCTGGCTGTTAGACTACAGGCAAATTACTTCCACCTCAATGCCACTGGTTGTTCCAGCTGCTCTCTGCTTTTTGCTTACACTAGCATCTGTATGGCTGTATTGTGAATTGGATCGGAAACAGATATGGATTAAAAACTGCTGCAGTTTTTTGCTTGTGTTGGTTTTTTTAAAGATTTTTGGATTTTGTTCTTTGAAACTGCGGTTCTCTTTTAGCAACCGGTTTTTAGATTGGATACTTCAAAGATTGTGGTTTACACTTTTGGGAGCTGGTGGGTGCATCTGGCATAAAGGGTTAAAACAGCAGTAATTTGATACCATGAGATTAGTTCTGAGTTTAATGTTCTGAATGCTACTTCCTTCCAGTGTACAATTTATCTTTTCCTGCTTTGTAGAGAAAGGTAGTTATGGGCAAAACTGGTGTGTAATGGTTCTTTCTGGAACTACGCTGAAGGTTGCATCACAGAAGTGGAGGAAAAAATCATTTGTCTGTCCTCCTCCTCTGGTTCAGCAAAATCCAGCCAAATTCTAATGTAATGGGTCACTGCTGGGATCTTAGGAACTGATATGCTTTCAAATTAAACTTAGCTGATAATGATGCTGTCAAATAAATACCTTCTATAATGGAGTGACTGGTCCAGTGAATCTTTACATTTCAATTTAGTAATGATGTACATTTTTCTCCTCATAGAAGTAGACATAAAACTAATAGTAAACCTCAGACTCCTGAAAATCTATCATCTACATGTGTTTTTGGTGGCTATAGGAATATGTTTGCAGCTATTTAAATACTGTATTATCTTTGAGTTGCAGAAAGACAATGGGACCACTGGCATGCTGACAGAAAACGTGCTTCTCCAAGAAATTGAAGGGCAGAATCAAGAACTGTCAGCTTTTTCTCAAGCAGTTACAAAGTAAGAAATTACTGAACACAAATTAGCTTTCAGAAGAAAAAAAAATGCTGAATAACTGATTTTCACTTAGGTTGTCAGGGCCAATGCTACATTTTTTTGCTTGATGGGGCAGATTTCAGTATGTGTCTTTTTTCCTTTTCTTACCCTAGTTTTTCCTGGGTTTGTCTTGCTTTGCTCATGGTTTTTGTTTTTGTTTTTTCTAAGAACGCAACAGAATTGTTAAGGTGTTCAGCACAAAAGTTTTGGATTATCATATCTCCTCTTTCTTCTTCTAATCCTGTGACTTTCCTCTTTTTTTTTGTTTTTATAATATTTTTTAATCCTCAAACTGTTTTTCTATATTTCCATATATCTGTATCTCCTTTGTCTATTTTTAAATACAATTTATTTTGAAAGAATTTGAAGTCCTTTTTTAATTAGTTGATGCACCTCACTAAATCCTGTCACTCAATGGCTTTCTAACCCTTAAATGCTCTCATTTCTATTGCTTCCACAAGTGGAATTCTGTAACAAATAAAACCTTCAAACTTGTTCCTGCTTTCTTCAGGTGATGAAGTTTCTTAAAGGTCACCCCAAAGAATACTCCTTCTATTTTTTTATTATTTTTTTTCTTTGCTTACTGGCATAACTCAATGAAAGATTGGGTTTTTTAGAGAAAACAAACTAGGAGTCTTGCCTTTTTTCCTCTCAAGATCAAAATTCAAGAAATCATGGGGGAAATAAAGATCTTTGAATGTGAAGGATAAAACAGGAATGCTTATGAAATGAAAAGCAAGCTCCTCAAAACCAATGAGAAGTCATATATCTGTGGAACTTACTGATGAACAACATAGCGCTTAAAATGCCGAGGGACTTCTGACTGGACAACTCTTGCTAGAGGGATTCCTTTTTTTCCCTTTCATGTTATTGTCAGGAATCAAGATGATGAAATAGATGACCATTATAAATTAGTTCTGTTCTTAATCTCCTATAATGCTACTTCAATGTTGGTAGAAGGTTAAGGTTAAGTTATTTTATCAATGTTAAATAGCAGAAAGTAAAAAGCAGCTATCACAGTGCTGTCTGTTCATTACTAGATGAATGTTTTATACTGTTTGTTTCCTACTAAAAAACCTTTCTCTTAATTTACGCGTCTTTCTCAACTTCCACAACTTGGAATATCTACCTTTTGCATAGTATCTAAGTTCAGGTTAGACTTCCAAAAATAAAAAACATGTAAAGAGTTTTGTGGTGTTTTGTATGTAATAGAAATTACCCTTTTTTAAACTTATTTTTAGCGAATGCTATGGATTACCTTTTTTAAAACTGTTTAAGAGCTTAGCTTCTACAGAAGCTGGTTATGTCCTGTAAGCATTAACCTATTAAATATTTTAAGCTGTATGGAAAACCTGCCTAATTATAAACTAGGGGTTTTTTCCCTTTTAAGTACCACTTCTATAATTATTGTGGGCAGTGTTGTGTTGAGAGTAGAAAATTAAGTGGTGTTTTGTATGTACAATTTAGGTAAAGAGCTAAAGGTACTCTTTACTGTTCTGGCTTGTGGTTATTACCATGTTATTTTGCTTGTTGTAGACTCACCCATTGCAATGTTTCATAAGCCTTCTCTGCTTTCAGATTGAGGACCAAGTTTCCTTATGCTAATCAGCAAACAAATCCAGGCTTTGTGCTGAGTCCAGTCATGCTGCAAAGAAATATAAGTGGGGAGAGTGCCAGTATCAAGGTTTCTATAGAAATCGAAGAATTCCAGCAACCAGTAACTTTTACGTGTGATGGTATGTTTCTGCTTTTTTAAATTGGACTTTGCTTGTAAGACTTAGAATGGTGGGTTAAGGCTGTGTGCTCAGTCTAGGCCAATGGCTTCCAGGTTTTGTAATCCTAGGTCTCGGGTGCATGGATTGCTTGTGGGGAGTGTGGAAAAGGTAACCGAATTAAAAACCCAATTCTGGGTTAGTGCTTCCATTAGAAAATATTTGGAAACTTACAAAGAGAAACATGTTTTTAAGAAGGAAAGCCAAGCAAACCAGAAGTGCTTTTCTACCCACAGCTGGGAATGTAAAACAGTTTTTCAAGAATTTGACCTACTTTATGGTAATTGAGGAGATGATGGTACTGGGCCTGAAATTCTTAACTTTTAACTTATTTGTTTATTTCAACACTGACAAGCGTTTAAATAAATTCTTGCAGGCTGTCTAGAAATTCAGACAAATTCCTGTAGGGAAATAAGAATAAATACTGAAATTATCTATTATTTGACTTCAATATATGCTTATGAACACAAACACTAAAACAGTACTGTTGCAGTGTGCCACATCTTAGGGGGCCTACTTTTGTGGACAACTAGGAGTATTACTTTGGGGTATAACTTTTAGGTTTACCTTGTTCTTGTACATAAACTTGTATTCACTATGCAGTCCAGACTGCACAGCATGTTTGTATTAAAGGCTGTAACTGTGGATGCTATCAACTTCTGGCAGTTCTTGGTGATAAAATAACTGAGCAACATATTTCTTAGCCTCTCTACTGCTGTAGTCTCTTAGCCCTTGTGAGGAGTCCCATTCCCAGACCTTGTCACCTGGTAGTGGATCTGTGCTGTGGTGTATTTTTTATCATTTAGTTCTCTACCTGCAACAGTGTGGAGTTGGTTGTTCTCAGAAGATATTAAATTGCTGTATTGGAAAACGAGCTCCTGATGCATAGGTGTTTTCATTCTGTATTAATTTTCTGGGCCTTATTCTGCTATGATTTTAGTACTCTTGTTAAGAAATTAGGTGGACTTTTAAGTGTACCCTAGGAAGGGTTTCGGCTCTTCATCCTTAAGATTGCACTTTCCTAATATTATAGGATTAATCCTTTCCTACAAAGGCTTTAGTATCATAACTAAAATGCTGCAGCTTCACCCTTTTATTTCTAGAAATTTTCTTAATATTGTGTCTTGCATTCTAGCCCTGTATATCTTATTCTTTGTGCTTTCTGCTTGCTTCCTTTTTTCTGATGCTGAAACTAATCACAATTAAACTACTTCTCTTCTGTAGCTAGTGAAAGATGGGTATCTGTAGCTCGTACTGTGACTAGTAATATGTGTAAAGTTCTTCTCTTCCTTTAATTCCTTCTGTTCTTGTTCAAATTGTTGCATACCTGAGCCTCCTAGTGCTGGAACTACTTTAGTATAGCTTTCAGTCCTGCTGGGAAGGGACTGTAGCCTTTCAGTGTTCTGATGACTCAATGTGTAGAAAGAACCCAGGAGGGAAACAGGTGAACTTCAGAGCTTTTTGGGTATACCTGTTCATTTTGCATTGGAAGTACAAGTCTACGTGAGCAATCATTGCATGTCAGCAAGAAATTAATATCTTTCAATGAGGCAGAGGGTGGGGAAAACATGGTAATCTTATCTTTGGATTGCTCCACAAGGGTTTGCAGCACTGGCAGACCTTCGTCAATGCAGCTTGTGACTGTACCCCATAAACTGTTGCTGCATCTTTTTTCCTCTATCAATCACCACAGTCTGCACTGATGGTAGTGCAGCAGTTTCATTCTAGATTAATAATAAGGTAAATAGCCTTAATAATGAGTTAAATAGTGTTTCTGAATTCATACTTCTTACCATTTCTTGTTCTTGAATTAGATATGCTCATTCTTCATATGCTATCGAATACCTCTGTGCTTGTAATAATTAGTCATCTGTTAATAAGATGAGGTACTTGCATTATCTTGTGGAAAATGTTTTTGTGGAGTTAGCTTTCTGTATCCACCACAGCAGCAACATTTCTTAAGAAAAACAAGATTCAGGAAAATTAGGAAGGTTCCTAGATGGCAGGGGGAGAAAGCACCACTTTTAAAGTACTGATGAAAAAATAAAATGCTTTTGTATAGTGTTTTTTACTGAATTTTGGGGCATTTAGTGACATTGTTTGCAAATGATTTAAAGTGGAAGAGGGAAGTGAAGAGAGCATTTTCTACTTAAAATGTTTGTGGTGTTAAAACATGCCAATGTATTTTTCCCCAGTGACATCTGGTGGCTGTAGGGGAATGGATTTGGGGTTTGACTGGGATTACTTCTTTTGCTCTGTAGTTACTGGATGGAAGAATGCTTTTTTAAAAAAGCATTTGGAGCCTGATGTTAAAGTACTAGTAGTTAAGAGTTGCTTTTTGCAAAGGCTTGGTGGTGCTTAGTGAATTCTGCTCTGTATCATGTGGAAACTGCCCTAGACAAATGGAAAGTGGGGAGAGGGAAGGACTTTGATTAGGATTTGCCTTGGCTGCAGCTGATACTCACTTCCTTAAAAGCAGAACAAATACAGAAGTTCCTTTTCCAATTCTTCAGAGTTTTTGAACTTTGCAAAGTTCTGGGATCACTTAGATATTTGAAGTCGTTGCTAAATAGGACAATTTTATAAATAAATAAAAAAAAGGCTATCCACATATAAAAACTCTTGGAAAACAGATTACAGACTATTTTTTTACTTTTGGTCAACTGACTACACTGTATTCTAATTTTAAAAGGATTTATAGATTTCTGAAACTACAGGCAAGTGTTATAAGATGCCTGCCTTTGTGGAAAAAAAGTGAAGATCTCAAACTATGAAATTTAGGATATTATAGAAGCATAAGAGTCTTCCCTACAAGTATAAAAATAAATTTTATTAAATAACTACAATTTGTGCATGAAAAAGGGTTAATATCACTTGCTATAGATTTATACTTAACTTCTAGTTGTAATTTCTTTGAACAGTGAGTTCCCCTGTTGAGCTTATAATAATGCAAGCACTTTGCTGGGTGCATGATGACTTGAATGAAGTGGACATTGGCAGCTATATCCTGAAAGTCTGTGGCCACGAAGAAGTTTTACAGAAGTAAGCAAACTCTTTTTTCATTAATACTTCATGCTTTTTCATGGCACAGTTGCTGGAAAGTGTATCTTTAATGATTAAATATGTGAAAACAAAAATCTTAAGAACATGGAAGAGCCACACTTTGCACAAAGATCAGAAGTCTTTAGAGTTGCTCTGGTATACAACAAAGTAGGTTCTCAACAGCTTCCTAGAAATCTGTTCTAATCCGCCATCTGGTGTGTTGAACACAAACAAGTTTTTTTAGATGCAGATTTCTAGAGCATTTCTGTAGATGGACATTGTAGTTTTCAGCTGCTCTTCAAATCCCAACAACTAGCAAAAAAAAATCTGCTGATGATTTCTGATAATCTGAAATAATCTGGATTTTGGTTTGGTTTTGTTTTTTTCCCAAAAGTCATGGTTTATAAATCCTCATTATTTTAGGGGTTTAAAATATTTGGTTTCAATGTTAGCCACAGTAGTTAAGAGTTTTAGCAAAAGTACAGGTATCTGTAATAGTATACTAAAACTTCTGCAAAGGTAAAAATCAGATCAAAAAGGATGGTCCAGAGGTTGATTTGCCATTTCCTTATTTTTAGCCAACGCATTGCCTTAGTATTCCATGTGAGTTTTTTGAAAAACACTGTATAATTTTCATGTAACTGTAGCTTTCTTTTATTTAACAGTAAGCACTGCATAGGCAGTCATGAATATATTCAGCACTGTCGGAAGTGGGATACAGAAATCAAACTGCAGCTGCTGACCCATAGTGTAATATGCAGAGATCTGGCACGAACAGTAAGTACCTCCTGAACTGCAGCAGCAATATAAATCTCCAAGAGATTGGGAGTTTTCATCAGAGTTGATGGATCTGAGGTGTAACCTTTTTGAGTGATTCACAAATTAGTATGTGTGCTCTCTTATACTGAGAGAAAATTAAATACGTACTGAATTTTCACAAGGCAAACAGTATAAATATGGATAATCTCTCTTATAGCTGGAAAAAGTATGCAAGCATTTGGACTAAACTTGAGGCCTGAAAGAAAAGCAGCAAGTTTCAGAGTTAAATAAAAGAACAGTTTTTTAGTTTAATTAGATATGTATCAGACCACCAAAGAGGAAGGGAGATATATTTAGTATCTGCATACTTTGGCACTTCATTGCTGTTTCTTCCCTCTTCCCCCTGTCCCAGTGTGTACATGTTTCATAGGCTATTAATTAGTTCTTTTCCCCTTTGAAAAGAACTTGAAAAGATATCACCTTATATCTTTCCCCTTTTATTCCACAGGTATTAGTAATGAAACTTCTAAAACAGTATTACAACTTATAGAATGGTGGGAACTGGACTTAATATCTAATATTTTATTGCAGGAAGATGATGACAGAACACCCATACATCTAACCAAACACCTCTACAAAGCTGAAAAGCCTTTCAGAGAACCTGTTATAAGGTAAAGTTAAGTGGTTATTTTAGTAATCAAGCCCATTGCTGAGTTTCTGACCAAGGTTGTCATGCTCTTGCACTTCTCTTTGATAACTACTGTTTCTTGCAGGTCTTCTATTGAAGAGCTTCTAGAAGTCTATCACAAGCAAGTTAACATAGCTCTTAAAAATGAGGTAAGGTCGTTGTAAATTAATGCTGAACCAAAAGTAGCGTGAGAAAGCTTACTAATGTCTTAGTTGGAAAAAAGACTTGCTGGAATTCTTGGGGAAACTGAGATCTGAACAAGCTGTCAATTGTAAATTTGGACTCATGGATTTTTATATTGCTTTTCCTCTTTTCTTCCTGGCTTTTCTTGCTAACTAATTATTACCTAATCATCACGATGAGAATTGTATCTGTCCTGGGGTGCAAAATAACCTTTTCCTCAAAAATGCTGGAGGGCATTAATTTAGGGGAATAGGGAAAAGGTCTGAATCCTGGATATGTAAGTGGTTGTCGGCTGTGAACGATATATTGGTAACAGATAAAATTCTACACAAGAGGGAGCAGTAATAGTGGTGTACAATGGGAGTTATAACTGAAGCATGTTTGGAACATACACTTTTTGTAAAACTTACTTGTAATAACATCTTATTCTGCACTATTGGATTAATTTAAAATACACTGTCAAATCCATTGTCTATTTCAGTGTATGAAGGTTGCTTAAAACACCTTGCATGTGAAGTAGTTTAGAGTGATTTCCCAAATGCAAAAGCTAGCCCAAGGTAACCTGCTTTACTTGTTTCTCAAAGGAGAAGCTTATTTTAGCTCCTGGTAGTAATGCAACTTGGAGACCTAAATTCTTATACAACTGATAACTGTGTTTCTTAAAAGAGTTTCTATAAGAACAGTCTTGGAATGAATGACTTAATTATGATACTTTTTTTATTTACATTTCATTTGTTTGCTTCTCCAGGAATGCAGGTCTGAACAAGCTGATATCCAGTATTTATATATTCCCTTAATGTTATTTAATTCACTTGATGGTGATTCACCATGTTCTCAAGGGTAGTTTCGAACACAATCTTGTAGGAGAATGAGACGTTACTGCTCGTTGAAATGGTGTTTTTGTCGCTTTGCTCTTGCAGCTGCTTCTGCTTGTTTAACTGATTTCAGAGACTGAGGGGAGGACTGCAAAACATCTCAGTTGTTCAGGCTTAAGTTTTACTCTTTCTACAGTCTTTTTGAGGATGGGAGATGTAGCTTGTAGGTGATGATGACTAGGTCCAAATATCAGCAGTTGTCGCATTTGAAATTTTTTCTTCCTGAAGTTGATTCCTGTACATAGTCAGTAGCTGACACTTGCTAATTGAAGTGAAACAAGGTAAAGTATTCCCAAAGTAACTTGTACGTAGCCTTTGATTTCAGACTTTAAAAGTTACCTATTTTCTTTTTATTGAGAGCCTGTGAGGAAAATAGCACTGGAAATTTTGCTTTCCATTGTCAAAATAGCTATTGTCTTCAAAGTGTTAGCTTTGAATGTGTGGCTTAAATATTTACAATGTCTTCTGACTTCTATGGTTATTTTCTTACCAGGACAAAGTTAATTGTTGCCAGGTAGCTCCCAATCCAAAACCATTTTGATTCAAATGGCTTCTTTGCTGTCCATTTCTGGAAGGTCATGGGAATGTGTCTGGGGAAGGGGTGGGGGTCGGGAATCAGTTTACAATTTACCAAAAGGATATTACACTATTCCTTCTTATTTAGTTGTAAGTGCTCATAAGTGATTGTGAAAGAAACCTATACGTTAAGCCTTAAAAAGTGAACAGTTGTTTTGAAGAAAATATTTTCATTTTCTACATGTGTTCTTTAAAATTGGAGGAAGACTTTGCTTATATTAAAAAAAAAAAGAAACCTAAGATAATTTAGATTTAAATTAGGTGGCTCTTCTTCTGTTTGAAGAGAAGAAGGAAAGGAATATTAGGAGCATTTTGACTTTGTCTTAAGTAGCCTGCCAACACTTTCATTTTCTGATACGAAGTTGATGTATTCCATTCTAAAAGATTCCTGTTAAGTGTGCAGTCCCTTTCCTTCTCCAAGGTGACAGTTTGCAATTGCATCATCTGAAAGAATCATTTAAAGTAAATTGTATGTGAGGCAAAAGTTGCAACAAACTCTTCTCAAAAGTATAGTAAAGTGAATAAAAAAAGATGAGGTTCCGTTATGGAAGCTATACTATAGTGTAAGTGCAATTTTAACGTGTGTGTTTGTTTTCAGAGTGCTGAATTTGAAGCACCACAACTTTAGCATTCCTTCTTCACAGTAATCGAATACCCTTTTTTAAACTACAGTTTCTGTTTATGCCATGAGGGAATTCGAGCTTAATATCTCATTAGAAAATACACGTCTGTCTACAGCTTAATAGAAAAATGGTTGGGAACCTCCTAATGTTTCCTGGGACACTGTTTTAGAATCTGTACTACTCCTATGTTTTTGGCATTGATAACTGAGCTATAAAGAAGTTCTCAATACTGAGGTTTTTATTTAATCAATTTGTTACACCAGAGTTTAATGTAGTTGAGATACGTGTCTCGGGATGAAACTTTCTTGGTAATTCATTCTTAAATGAAAGTAAACAATTAAAGCAATTCTGGGTTTCACAGTTGTGATCAGATCAATCTGTTCTCTCATACATTCTTTATTAGAACCAGCATAAAACAGTAGATCACATAATTAAGACTGTCAGAAAAATCTGTTCTACATTGGATTGTGTAGAGACTCCCGCAATAACAGAATCAGTAAAGAAGCTAAGGAGGGTCGTTAATCTTCCAAGGACTAAAAATGCTGAGGTAAGATTTCACACTATAAGCTGCATTTTGGGTTGTGCTTTTTAACACTAATAAAAACTGTTTTTTAATCTTTTGTAGTTGCAAATACAAGCAACAGTTCAGTCAGGATTATGTTGTTTGGTTTTGGTTTTTGGTGGGGTTTTTATTTTGCCTGGTATCTTCAATTTATTTTAACATCTCTTTGCTGTTAATGCATTAATCATTTGCTCTTGGAATCCTTTCCCATTATAAATAGTGCCTTTTTAAAAATAGTGTTTTCTGGTTCTGTACCTACATATTTGTGTCACAGTAGATACTAAGCCTGTGACTAAGTCAGACCAATGGGAAACTGACAGCTAGCTCATGCCCTTTAAAATCAGTGCAATTATGCTTAAAGTAGGAATTCACATCCTGTATTTTCTGTGCAGTATTTATGTGAAGAGCAATAGCATCTTGAAACTCTAGCAGTTCATGCTCCTGCATCCCTGAGCATATGGACAAAAGTAAAATCTCTTCAGTAGCACAGATTTTGATGATAAGACTGCCTTACAATTAATAGTTTACTTGTGCAGAATTGGTCTCAAGTCATGTTGTCAAAACCAGTCGTTAAAAGGAGAAGTGTGTAGATAACATTACAAGACTATTTAGCTTTTTTATTTCTGTTGTCCTGCTGCCTTATGAGAGTGGCAATTCATGTGCTATTTCAGCTTCGTCAGTTCAGTGATATATTTGTAATACTGCGCAGAATTCTTGCAAAATGCATAGACCAGATAAATCTAGTTGTCACAAGAACTAAAATTCTTGCAGGGAAATGCAGAAGACGTATTAAGAAAACTTAGTGAAATACAGCATATTAAATATTTCTTCAATGATTGCTTTTTGATAGGAGAAAGCTGTAGAAATAATTAGATTACAGTGTAAAAATAACTTCCAAAAATAACGCTATACCAGTAGAATTTGGAAAAAGGTACTTTTTTTATCAGTAAAAGCCTGTAATTCTCTTGCAATGAACATTGACTTAAACAGTAATCTGTATGAAGGCATATAGGACCATTTTCAGAAACAGTCGGTTGCATCTAAACGTTATGTAAGATATTGTTTATTTTTATTTATTTTAAAGTAATTGTTTTGTGGGTGGCAAAAGAGGCCAAAAAGAAAACAGGAAAACAGTAGGCTATCAAGTAGAAAATGATAAATATATATGTAGTGCTGTTTCAACAGTTTGGCATCCTGTCATCAAAAGACTTTTGGACTACTTGGCAAGTATGGTGGAAACATAGCAGTTCTTCTGAAAGGGGAAAAAGATGTGCTCCCTGCACACACACACAAGCACCCTGCATGTTTTTAATGAGAACGTGAAGGGGTTTGATAGTTAAAACTTAAGCACCCACACTCACACACACGCACCCTGCATGTTTTTAATGAGAACGTGAAGGGGTTTGATAGTTAAAACTTAATGTTGACAAGGCGCTCAATTAATACACCACAAGTATAAGGAGAGCTTTCACTCTTCTGCAGAAGTTGTGGCAATCTTCTTAGACTTTTTCTCAAGTATTAGGAATTCACTGTGTTTTGTTTTTAAAACACAAACTTAGTTTTCGTTAAAAGTTGTAGTTTTATCAGAAGTTGAATTTGGCATGAAATCCTTTCACTGAATTTCACTGCAGCTTCCTTGTTAGAAAGGAGCAAATTCCCATGATTTGTCACATTTGTTTGTTGGCTTCAGCAGTGTCCTTGTTGAAACTAGACATTGCTGTAGTACTGTATCATGTTTAGACTTCATTTTAGCAGACCGAGAAGCAAACACAGCAGATAGTATGAAATTACAGTTCTTACTGTTCAGTTTTCTCAGTTGTTTAACATTTTTTTTGTGCACTAAATTTATAGTAACTCTGCGTACAAAAGATACCTTAACGAATGCCACAAACAAAACAGCTGCTTGGACTTATATTACTGGGTGATGGAGCAACAGCTTCTGCTTTCATCCATAACAACCCTGACTGAGTTTTATCTCTACTCAGAGAAGTTAGAGTATCCTGAGCAATATTGAAATGTGCTGTGTCTTGTAAGAGTTCATAAAGGGTGTCAAAATAGTTGCGACTTGACAAAACATGAGCTTTATGAACTTGGTTGCTGTGTGTTATGGAAATTGTGATGGTGGCGCTTACTCTTGAGGAACTTTGAGTAAATAGATGTTACATAAACCCAAATACGGGTCTAATTCAGATGTTTCGTAATTTCTGTATAAGATACTTAAGAGCAATGGAAAATTAATATGGGTTTCTTGGTATTAAAATTTGCTCTAACTTTACTGTGTAGGTGTCCTCACAATGTGGCGACAACACTAGCACGAGCTCATCTGGTGAGTAAAGTTCTTCAGTTTTATTTAAATATTGCTTTTAGGTGGCTGTTTTAGGAAGATACACACTAAAGATAAATTATAATTTAGGTTCACCGCAGCCTGAAAACCCTCTGAAAGTGAGTATAGACCAGTTAACAAGAGCAGTTGAGGCCCTTCTGCGACTCCATGTGAATTCATGTAGCAGTTCTGCAGTAATTTCTCCAAAAGATAGTAAGAGTACTAAGGAAGCATGGACTGCCACAGAACATCTCCAGTTCACAGTATTTGCTGTTCATGGAATTTCTTCTGGTTGGGTATCAAAGTAAGTAATTTATTAGTTGTAAAATTGATCCTTTTATAGATTTGCTTGTTTGTTTAATTTACTTTCTTTTCCTTGTCCAGTTATGAAAAATACTACTTGATTTGTTCTCTGACCCATAATGGAAAAGATCTGTTTAAACCCATTCAGTCCAAGAAGGTTGGCACGTACAAGAACTTCTTCTACTTGATTAAGTGGGATGAACTGTAAGTGGCTTTAGCATCCTAAAACTCACTACAATATTTAATTTTCGCTTGTACCTACCCAGCTAGCTGCTGAATACAGTCATTCAAGCAACTCTTGCTTCTGATTCATTTTGAAGTGTTGAAAGAACAATGTATGAAACTTATTGACCAAAATAAGAAATATTTTTCCAAATGGTATTTCACTATTCATTTTAGAAGCGGGGATGGAAATGCTGGACAAGAGCCCTGTGCTAATGTTTGTAGTATGCAATTATAAGGAGTTGGGAAGGTCATTACATTCCTTGTAATGGAACAGTTTGTGGTGTTTAAAGAACAATGAACAAAACTTGCTTATAAGCAGTGCTCACATTATATAATGGGGAGGAAAAGCAGCTGACTTCTACTAACATTAATGCTGTATCTTTTTTTGATCCAAATACATCATAACAGCTTTGTATCTGAATTTAAAAATCTTAGTTAAGGATTATCTCTATAAAGAGAGCAGGTGTGTAAGTGCTTAAAAGTGTCCATCTATAGCATATGAGAATGTCTGCTCTGAGCCACTAAACTTCAGTTTCTCTTTATGGGGCAGTGGAAGAGGATAGAAAGGAAAAAGGAATGACATGCGGAGAAGAAATTGGGAGAGGATGATGGGTGATAACTGAGAGAGGAAAATACTTTTCATTATCTATGCACAGCTTACTCTTTTCCACTTAATAGCTATCAGGCAACTTGTCATAACTCAAGTATCAAGTGAGCTCCACATTGCCCTTTATCAGTTTTCCTGGCTGTTTTTAAAGGTCAGAGATAGACAGACCCTGAAGAATACCTTGAAAGGTATTCTGCACCTGGGCCAGTACAGTCCTCGCCGTCAGTACAGACTAGGGGGTGAGGTACTAGAAAGCAGCCCTGAGGAAAGGGACTTGGGGGTGCTGGTGGAGGAGAAGCTGGACATGAGCAGGCAGGGTGCAGCTGCAGCCCAGAAGGCCAATCCCATCCTGGGCTGCATCAAAAGATGCGTTGCCAGCAGGTCCAGAGAGGGGATTCTGCCACTTTACTCTGCTCTGGTGAGAACTCACCTGGAGTATTGTGTGCAGGTCTGGAGTCCTCAATATAAGGAGGACACGGACCTGATGGAGAGGGTCCAGAGGAGGGCCATGAGGATGATCAGGGGGATGGAGCACCTCTGCTACAAGGACAGGCTGAGGGAGCTGGGGTTTTTCAGCCTGAAGAAGAGGCGGCTCCGGGGAGACCTAATAAGCGGCCTTCCAGTACCTGAAGGGAGCCTACAGGAAGGCTGGGGAGAGCCTGTTTAGAAAGGCCTGTAGTGACAGGACGAGGGGCAATGGCTTCAAGCTGGAGGGGAACAGATTTAGACTGGAGATGAGGAGAGGGTTCTTCACTGTGAGGGTGGTGGAGCACTGGAACAGGTTGCCCAGGGAGGTGGTTGAGGCCCCATCCCTGGAGATATTCAAGGAGAGGCTTGACGAGGCCCTGGGCAACCTGGTCTAGTTGGGGGTGTCCCCGCTGACTGCGGGGGGATCGGACTAGATGACCTTTGGAGGTCCCTTCCGGCCTGGACAACTCTATGAAAGTCCACAGTGACAAATTATTTCAGACCAGCATTGAGAGTTTCGGGTTTTAGAATACTTGCCTGCAGAGAATACTCCAACTACCTTTTTTCTTTTTTTTTCTGATGCAAGGTTAATTATCAAGTAATTAATTCTGATTAATTGTCAGATCTTTTCCTGGCAGGTACTACTGTATTACAGTGAAAGGTGTGTTAGATTGCTTATAAGATGCTTCATATAGTTGTAGTGTTTTATAGCATAACTGTCTTGGTAATAAAAATCTGAATTTGAATTGATCAGTGATGTGTATACGCAGTTGCTTTCTTTATGGGTGCTGGGTTTGTAGCACTTGCATTTAGCTTGTGGTAGTTCTTAATAGATTCTTTAATTTGGTTGGGAAACTATTGTCAGCTGACTCCTTAAATCTGAGAGATTAGGAGGTGGCTAACATGGAATTGTGTGTATCCTCCTAGTGAGTAGAGTGGGAAGACTGGTTATGCTGGACAGTGCAGTTCTGTGTAAGGAATGTAATTTAATAGACGAAGATTAAAAAGGGTTGTTCCAAATCTGACTACAGTGCAGAATTGTAATTTAGCAGGTTTTGCAAGCCATTGGTAAGGGAGATAGGGTGAAATATAATTGCATGGAAATTAGACGCTTTTTCTTTAATGTTAATTAACTTTTTGAAAGCAAGAGGCATCAACGGATTATATGGGTTAGCCTGTAAGTTACTAATAACTGTCCTTCCTCTGACTGACTTCTTTTTAATACTTTTATTTTGTAGAATAATTTTCCCAATCCAGATTTCACAGCTGCCTTTGGAATCAGTCTTACGTCTGACTCTCTTCGGAATCCTAAATCAAAGTAGTGGGAATTCTCCTGACTCAAATAAACAGAGAAAGGGCCCAGAAATTTTGGGTCAGGTTTCTCTACCTCTTTTTGATTTTAGGCGGTAAGTATCCCAAATATGAGTAAGAGCATTGATATGATTTACTCTATACAAAGGTTATAACTATATAACTCTCACAACTATAGAAACTCTCATAACTATAGAAACTGCTTCTTTGCCACTGAATGTAGTAGGCCATGATAAAGTTAAGAATTATAAACTGTATTCTTACAGAAATAATACCTTCCATTAAATTAGGTAAAAAAACACAGTCCTGTGTTGTGGTATTTCCATCTAACTGGCTGAAAAAAAATATTTGCTGGAGGAAGTTGAATATTGTTTGGATCAAAGTGGTTTTGTTTGCAGGAAATCTTCATAGTAATGTGGGCCAAAAGAGGTCGTGTTAGTACCAACTGTTTAAGTATGCAGCAGTTCAATGTATAAGCATAACTCAGGTTGTTGTTGGAGGAATCCACTAACATTCAGATGTTGCCCTATAAGTCATATGCAATTGAAGTATCTGTAGGAGTCACTGCCTCCTGAATTGATAGCCTCCCTTCTACTGAAGGAATATGGTCTTGGTAGGTGGTCTTACATGAGTTCTTATATCAGATTAGAATATCTAACAGTACGTTACCTTGGCTAGAGGCAGTTCAGTCAGTATTCACATATATTTTAACAGCTGAAGTGTAAACAGCCAGTTCTCAGCCAATTCATGAGCTGTGATGATAGAGAATGCAACTTGCAGAAGAAAACGTTTGCAGCAATCCTTGCATTCAGCAGGAATAGTGTCTAGTGAAATGCAAAGCAGAACAGAATCCTGACAGCAGGTAAACAATGGGCTATGCTTCCATCATCTCGCTGGCAAAGAAGCACCTTTGCCTTAAAACTGTCTTAAGATAGGAAAGAAGAGCACTTTTCTTCATCCAATACCAGTTGTAAAGTCAAGTGGCTTAAAATATCTTTACTTGTGGATGAGACAGTAGGCTGTGGCAAGAATATTAAACTGGAGAATTATTAAAAAGAACAGACTGTTCAGTTAGGTTTTAGTGGCATGGTTTAGTAATTTTTATTGGCTTCATAAGCTCCCAGTTGATATTTACATATAAAGAACTGTTCTTTCTTTGAAACACATCTTTCAAAAGACACTAATGACTTGGCCTTCAAGCAGTCTTTTGAGAGTGTATTTTGACTTTTAAAGACTCACAGAAGTTTTAAGTGCTGAATGCTAGGCACAGAACTGATTTAGGAAGTATCCTCAGTTGTACCTTAGTACAGTTGGAAACGGTATTAATATTGGGAAGAAACTAGCAAATACAAACATCATCTGATATGTGCTTGCAGAATCTAGTAATGTGGAAAGTCCAGGCAAATGGTGAGATCTATAATATTCATATGCCTGTGCCTTTTTTCTGGTAAGGTAAGAAGGTGCTTGTATCCAGTTTATTTCTCAGATGCAAAAGTATTCCTTTTCTCCCCTAAGAAGTAGGGGGCACTTAATTTAGCTGGGTCAGATGTGTCAGCACTGAACTTTTCCCTTTGTCTTTTCTACCTAAAAGTTGTATGCAGCATTTTAAAGGACTTAAAGTACGGAAGATATCCAATGAAATTCACTTGACACTTGATGATCATAATTCCTTTTTTAAGCTCTGAACTGTATTGGATAATACAGTTTGATTTCCTGTGTTCTTTTCAAAACATCAATGTTGAAATACTCGTCCCAAGATAAACTTTTATCTCTGCAGCAGAAGCACATACTCAGTTTGAACTCTTTCTATACCAACTAATATTTTGGAATTGTTTCCTTGTAGTGACCACTGATCTTCTCCAGATAGGATTCTAATCACTAATATCTAGTTGAAATAAACAGGTTGTGACATTAATACCTGTACGTGCTTTTTTTCTCAGGTTGTTAACTTGTGGAACAAAGCTCTTGCAACTCTGGACCTCATCACATCCACATCATGCGTCAGGGACGGCCAGTAAGAAAGGAAATACAGAAAGAATAGTATTGCAGGTTATATATAATTCTGACTTGATCTGGCTATGTTTTGTTTGAATATTGTCACTTGTAACTCTTACATGAGTGTTAAAAGATCAATTAATGTTTTGGGGAGAGTGTAAATATTGTGAAGTCATATCTGAAAGCCAGTGCAGAATAGTGATTACTAAGCATTAAGGACAAAGAATGGAAAGCTGCTGTAATTGTATACAAGTGAGTTACTGAATCACTGTCTTGAAGTAAGAGAAATCGGAGATGACTTGGTAGTACATGCTACCAGTAGTGGGAGAGAACGTTTTTGAAAAGCAATCTATAGAAATGTATATTGAGATGGGATTTGTCAAAACCCCAAACAATAGCAATTCCAGCTTCTTTACAGAATATAAGCACTTCTCATTCTAGATTCAGAGTCCAGATTCCTCTCTGAAGAGAAGGCATCCTGTTAGGCATGGCTTAGCAGTCTCAAGACATGGCCGGAGTTGAAGGTTGGGTTGAAACCACTGGTGCAGATTTTAAAAGTTCTGTGACTAGTCTCCACTCTAAACGCTTTTGCTTCACTTCTGAGGAGTACTGCAACTCCTGGGTTGTGTAACAACAGAGTTGTCATACGCTTAAGGACCACAGTTATGTAGAAGAATTGAGATGGAAAAAATATTCAGGAAATAGCCTGAAAACTGTTACACATGTAGAAGTAAAGAGTTCAGATGCCTCAACTGTCTCTACTATTCTTAAGGACTTGCATAATTTTATTATTTTATTTTTTTTAGATTGACTTCCCATCCCATGCTTTTGATATTGAATATAAAATTCCTCAAGCTGCAAAGGCTACTGCGCATCATTCCATAGAAACACTAGAAAAACCATTAAGAGAACGTCTCCTGGCCATTCTCTCCAAGGATAACACCATTGGGTATGTTCACCTCTTTCTAGCTATGGGCTAATTGTATGTGACATACAATGTCTGCACTGCTTATTTATTCTTAAATTTCTTTAACATGGGTCTAGTATATTTTGAAGACCTGTGAGGACTTTAAACAAGAGATTGAATTAAACTCGCAAAATAATGGTTTACTTGTGCTTTCCGTGGCCCACATCATAATACTCTCTATTGCAAGATCGCTACCCTTTTGGCTGCCTGTTATATATGTTTTATATGTGTGTGTGTATATATATAAAATAGGCATATGTTATATGCTTATTCCTGCTTGGCAGTTCTTCAGTTATAGGGAGCAGCGGCAGTTTTAGCAGTGCCTTTTCATATGCTATGGAAGCTTTTCTGGCAGGCTTTCCCACTCATCTGCACCAAACTAACATTAACATTTTGGTTTATTTCAGATTACACTAAAACTGATTTTTGTCCTGCCCAAATTATAACTTTGAACGACTGTTTTCATAATGTTTGAGGCTTTATTTTGTTTCTCATTTTGACTTTTGTGGAGGAAATAGCCATTTTAATTTCATCCTGTGTTATGTGTTAAATCATCTGTATGTATACAGTGACCAGTAGCATTGGGGCTATTCAGGTGATGGTCTGTAATGTATGTTATAAACCAAAATGCTTTTGTCTACAGGTTATCAAAAGAAGATAAAGAATTTTTGTGGGAGAAAAGACATTATTGTCATAATCATACTAATAGCCTACCAAAAATACTGGCTAGTGCCCCTCACTGGGACTGGGCGAGTCTTCCAGAAATATATTCGTTACTTCAGCAGTGGCCTCCTTTATCACCCTTAGCTGCACTGGAACTACTAGACTCAAAGTAAGAAAAATAGCATAAATAAATTCTCTGTACTTGTGCATTTCATGACTTCTCTTCAGTAGAAGATTCTGAATGCCATTCTTGTGGAAAATATTGCTGAATTTCTTGTAGCAAAAGCTAAATTTTCTTAAAATGTCAAGAACATGTGCTTACTTTATTCACATAGGATTAACCAAGTCATGTAGTGAAAGAACAGCAATAGTGGTTAGGATTCTGAAATCTAATTTGTGAGAGAAGAGCAAGCTATACAGCCAAGCTATCAAGACTGAAGTTTTGAGAGATTAGTATGCTTGTCCTAAACATGCACATGTGTTTGTGTCTTGGGTAATGAAGTGCCTCAAACTTGTAGGTCCTTTTTTGAGCTGTTAAAGACCTTATATTGGTTATTTTCTATCTAGCTGATCTCTAAAAAAGAAAAAAAAAACAATCCCTACATGAACAGAATAAACATAATGTAGCTTTGTGGTAACTTTCTAGGTTTGCTGATCAGGAAGTACGAAGCACAGCTGTGAATTGGATGGAGGCTTTAAGTGATGATGAGTTAACAGATTTCCTCCCTCAATTTGTGCAGGTAAGACTTTCTGCCTCCACTGAAGTTCAAATAATTTTTTTTTTTCTTTCTCTTGAAAATGTGAAGGAATTACTGATTACTAGTAGCAGAAGTGTGATTGCAATGTCTCTCTAATTAATAACCTAAAGCATATTAGGGAAAACAATTGAGTAAATAATTGCTCTGTGACTGTCCTGTGGATCTGTGGTGATTCTGTCTGTGCATTAGTCAAAATCTCAGTCTTCATCTAGAATTAAATCCAGGCCCGCTTTATTTCATTTTCTTTACATTTAGGCATTGAAGCATGAAACCTACCTTGACAGTGCTCTTGTGAAATTTCTTTTGGCTCGGGCGCTGGGAAGCATTCGAATAGCACATTACCTGTATTGGTAAGATGTTCTTTGTTCCACTGTTCACGAAATATGTTTGCTCTAAGATTAATTTTTCCAGAAAAAAAAATTTATTTCTTAATATCATAGTTCATAACAATGAATTTTATGAAAGGAGAGTATACGAAATACAGATCATGGGCTTTTTTATGAAAAAAAAGACAGTGCCTTTATAAGGCACGAACTTCTTGCCTTTTATATCCTCTGTAACTTCATATATGTATATAGTATTGATTTGGTAAAATATATTAGAGTCTTAGTATTGCATTGTTTGTAGTATTTTCCATAGGAAAATTTAACTTAAATCCTTTATTTCAGGCTTCTTAAGGATACACTGTATGACACAAAGTTTGGTGTAAGGTATGAGCAAATTCTTGGAGCTTTTCTTTCCGTCTGTGGAAAAAGGCTGAGGGAAGAGCTGGAGAAGCAGACCAGACTAGTGCAGCTTCTTGGAACGGTAGCAGAGAAAGTAAAGCAAACAAGTGGATCTGCTCGTCAGGTGTGTACATACTTTTCATACTATTTAGGAAGATTAGACTGAGGATACCCTCAAAACAATCTCCTCAATTGCCTTTTAAGTCTAAGTTCAATAAAACATTATGTATAATACACAGCTCTATTTGTCTATTGTGCTGCATTTTAACAAGTTAATGGCTTAATGAAGTTGATGTTTTTGTCAAATTTGTTGTGATTCTAAACATAAGAATGTGTGAGGTAAGAAAATAGGGTGGTTTCTGTGTACAATAAACTGGAATTGGATTTAAACCTATTACTGCTGAAGCACGGTCCTGTTTTGCAAAAGAAGGGGATGTCTGTTTATATGGTAATAGGAACTTAGTCTGATAGAGTGTGATGCTATCATCCAATTCGGTCAAAAAAAAAAATCCCAGTCTTGTGCAATATTAATGTTGTACTGCCAGGCTTCTATTTGTTTAATAGCTAAAACAGCAGTTGTAATTTCTAGTATTCCTTTGATACCAAGGAGTTAAGACACTGGCTTCAGGATAACTTTTTCCAGAAGTTTTCTTTAGATGCTTCAGTTAGGAAAATGTCAGCTGATTTTTTTAAATATTATTATTATTTTTGTCTGCAGGCTGCCTTGCAAAATGGTATGGAACGTGTGCAGTTGTTTTTCTTGAAGAACAAATGCCGTTTGCCTCTTAACCCCAGTCTTGTGGCAAAAGAGTTAAACATTAAGGTACTGCTGGTTCAAACTTTCAAAACATTTTTGTAAAAATTACATATAGGCAAAGCTTTTACAAGCAGGAAAAAAAAAATCAAAGGAGGTGCTTGAGAGCTCTTTCTGCTGGGGGGGAGGGGTTTAATTAAAAATTCTGATTGAATGAGGCAGTGAAATTTGAGCAAAGATAAAATTTATACAAATACTTGTGTAAAACAGATGAAGGTACTTGTATTATAAAAATAATATCTGTAATAACTTACTATTTCTTCAGACACTGTGTCTTTTGAGACCAACAAACCTGGTTATAGTAAGTAGATTATTCAAAATGCATGGAAAAAATCCTATTTGCAGTAGTAATCAAAAGAGAAAATTGACCAAGGCTATAAAGTTTAAACAATGAGCAGATACAGTGAAACTGCCCATTACTGGCTGTGTCCAAGAGATGTACTGAATCCAGGGAGGGAGACAGTAGCTTTATTTTATTGTGAAGGTCCAGAAAGTAATAATGTAGGAGAAGCAGGTAAATTATTTTTCCAAAACTCTGCAAGGTTTGACAATGTCTGCTCAACCACAATCTTGATTTATATCATGCATGACTGAGAACCTAAAGGTCTGTGAACACTGGATTTAATCCTGTGTGGAGAGACAGTTCGTCTTGTTTTCCTTCTCTGCTGTAACTATGAAATCATGAGTATATACTTGAAAGTAGATAAATGAGTTAATAGTGTGAAACATGCAAATACCAGGGTTTTTTACATTATCTTCTATGTTTCAAAAAAACCCGCTGATAAATATTTGTCCATGTTTTATTCACTTTTCCTTTCAAAATGCATAAAAAACATCACTCTGCAGCAGTATTGGCTTTTGTACAAGAAATCAACAAATAACAGCTCTTTATCCAAAAGAAGCACGTATTTGCCACCATCGCAATGTTAAAAGTCTGAATAGAGACATTGTGTGTTAAACCTGCTTGTTGTCAGAATGTCTTGTTTTCTGGGCTGGCAGGAATAGTCCTTTTTGAGTATTAACACTAGATCTGCTTGTAGGCATGTTCTTTCTTCAGCTCCAATGCAGTACCACTGAAAGTTGCACTGATAAATGCAGACCCTCTGGGAGAAGAAATTAACGTGATGTTTAAGGTAGGCCTTACATGTGTATTAGAGAAAAAAAAGTTGAATGATAATCACTTCTTCTTTGGTATCAATTAGCTTTGCCCTAGACCAATAAGCTTAATTATTTTGTGAGTTTGTTCCTGTGTATCTAGAAACCAACATCTTAACAGGCTGTAAACTCTGAGAGGAAGTCTACTGCACAGGAAAGCTTAAATGTAGCCTATTTCTCTTAAAGTGCGTAGGAAGAAAGTATCATAATGTATCACTTCCTAGAAATGTAAAGCAGTTAAAATCTGTGAAGCTGATTTTTACTGAAAGCATATTATGCCTCCAGTTAAATTTTATTTTTCCATTTAAGGTTGGTGAAGATCTGAGACAAGATATGTTGGCTTTACAAATGATTAAGATTATGGATAAGATTTGGCTGCAGGAGGGACTGGATCTACGGATGGTTATCTTCAAGTGTCTCTCAACTGGAAAAGACCGAGGTGAAAAGCCAGATGCTGCCTATAATTTTTTGCTCCCCAACTTGTCACACTGATAGTGAAAAATTTCTGTGTAGAGGCAGGCCCAAGAAAGAGTGGAAGGCCAAAAGCCTTCCATGCAAAGAACTTCAGTACTCGAGAGTATAACAAGTTAAATTGTTCTGAATGCTCTGGTGGCTGAGTTACATTTCAGTCTGTTTCTTCTCTTGAGTCCTGAGAGTCTTACGTGTTCCGTTGTCAACAAACAGTGGTGCAAGCAAGTAAATATAATGATAAAGGCTAAGGTTTCTCTTGCTGCCCTTGCTGCAACACAAGAAAATAATGGTGCCATAGCAATCCTCATTCTGAAAGCTTAGTTACAGTGAAAGAATGTATTGAAGGCAAAACTGAAATTCTGAAGTATTTGGAATCTGTTGCAGTTGAGTCAGGGAGTATTATTCATATACTGAAATGTGCAGAAAGAAATAAAGTTTAAGGCACCTACACTGTGTCCACAATTGGTGTTATATGCTGGGAAAAGTTCCTTGGCATTATAAGGCTGTCTTTTAGGTTTCAAACTAGGATGGTAGGACTCTTGAGTGTAAATACCACCCTGCACCTTGAACGTGCTTTTTGCTAGTTTTCGCTAATTCTCCAGAGCTAGTCAATAGGAAGCAAAAGATCCTTAAGAGGATCAACAGTAACTTAAGTATTTCTTCAGTTAGATGCTAGAACAGCATGATGAAAACTCTTAACTACATGGATACATTAGAAGTTTAGGTTGGCAAAACTAATCAAAAAGCTTCTGTTTATGTAAGACTTGCTCTTTAGAAAAACAGATGGCTTTTCCTCCTACTTTGAATGATGAATTGATTATGTAGCATGTTACTTTTTTTTTGTTGCTGCTAATTTTACTATTCCTAAAGTACTTGAAGGATTAAAGTAAAAAAGAAAAATGGATGTAAATTACAGATTTGTCTTTAGTAGCTCTTGCCAAGATAGAAGTAAAATTCTGTTAATCAAATAAATGTCTTCCTTTTAAGATTTAGCTATACAAATATTTTTAGTAAATGATGTCTCCAAAATAAGGCCACATGTAAAGCCCACTGCCTTATTTCTGGAGCAAGTCTGGTTTGTTTCAACACTTGACAGCAGTTAAAATTACTAGATTACTTAAGTGTCAGTGTATGAGAAATGTCAGCATCAAAATATTTTGCAGTTATTGCTTATAGACCAATTCTAGTTTATGTAGTAGAAAGTAATTATTCAAAGTATAATTTGTATGTGCATTCTAGCAACCATAATTAATTGTAGTAAAGTAAGCCCAACTTGTATTGCAACATGTGTTTCATGGTATGCTTTGTAATACAGTCTGTGGAAATGTTTAGTAGACTAATAGCACTATTTTTACACCTAACTGTGTTTTGAAAGAAGCTAGTCTAAAATTTTAAAAACCATCTTTGTCAAGAAAGTTTCTACTGAATAATGAAAATGCAGTGTAACAAGGAGATAGTTAAATACACTGTGTTATATTTTCTATAAAGGCATGGTAGAGCTTGTTCCTGCTTCAGATACACTTAGGAAAATTCAAGTGGAATATGGAGTGACAGGTTCTTTTAAAGACAAGCCTCTGGCAGAATGGTTGCGAAAGTATAATCCTACAGAGGAGGAATATGAAAAGGTAACTTTTTTTCAGTGTTGTTTTTTTGAAGACGTTTCAAAAAGGGATAAATACCATCTTGTCTTATGAAGGGATGTAATGCTTATTCCAGGTCTTCCATTGAAATTTTTTGTTTGTATCTTTAGGAAACTTTATTTTTTCTTATAGTTGAAAAAGAGCAAATGAAAATCCCTTACATAACTAAAAAGGAGCCAGATGGATTCTCATTATTCATATCAGGAGTTTTTATTGGATATAGAAAAAGTGTACTTCAAAATTTAAGATAGGAAGGAACAGTGCCTTCTCTTAGTTGTGGTTTAGGAGCAGTGGCCTCTTCTCATACAAGCACATGGGATTCAAAAAATAAAATGTTTCTTTTGGCTACAGTGCTTTTACAACACACTGAAAAATAAGTCTTGTCCCGTCTTCTTTGCTAACATTTAATTCTTTTTGTGATTTGTCTTCAATTCCTCTTTTCTCTTTCACTTATTTAAAAAACAAAATAACAGTTTTTGCTGGAAACTGTGATTTTTTGGTAACTGGATTTTTGCTGGAAACAAAAGATTTTTGCAAAGCTATCTGAAGAACACTGTTTTGGAAAAAAAGCAAATTTTAGGGCATGTCTAGTCTGGCTTGGATTTTTACACTGTTGAATGCATGAATGCTGTTTTTCCACTGATATTGATCTCAATTCACTTTTTTTCTCTCCCTCCCAGGCTTCAGAAAACTTCATTTACTCCTGTGCAGGATGCTGTGTAGCTACTTACGTATTGGGAATTTGTGACCGCCACAATGATAACATAATGCTCCGAAACACAGGGCATATGTTTCACATTGACTTTGGAAAATTTTTGGGTCATGCACAAATGTTTGGTAGCTTTAAAAGGTATTTTCTGTAGCTAAGCAACGTAGAGAATGAAGTGGGTTATAGTATATTTTTCTAAGCATTATAATTCTAAGCATTAACTTTTAAATTCCTGTTATCTGTTCTCACCACAAAGCCAGTATCTTCCAATTTAACCACAGACTTTCCAGAATGCATCAAACTTACCTGTATACAATTAATTTTGAAAAGGCTCCAGCTTCCTCTTCCCATATTCTGATCTCTGGAACTGTTTTAAGTCAAAGCACACAGGCATAGCTTTCAAATAGAATTACTGTTCTGTCTGCCGGTAGATTGAAATAAGGAATTTGGTCTCCCAAACATCATTTAACTTCAGTGCTTCCAAACTGCATTCATTTCCTAAGAACTTGGCAAATCTCAATGGAAGTTTCTTTACAATAGTTATAAAAGCCAAGTATTTTGGTACAGGAAAAGATGCAACTTTTTACTGATATTTGGGAGCTTTACATCTAACACAAATCTTGGTGTCATACTTTTCCAGGAATATTGGATAAAACTGTAGTGTAGTTTCACCTCTTTAGCTGTGTTCATGCAATTATATACTGCATGCTTGTTAGGTAAACTTTATCAGTGAATGTGAAATTGAGTGCCAGACCTTTATGTCATCTGAATATCTGTGTGTGAAATAAATGAGAACAGACTCTTGCTCATAAAGTCAGTCGTGAATGTCAACGTTATAGAAAAGATTGAAGAGGAAGTTTGTATTTACTACTCCTCTATGTAGGGGAAGATAATCTATATCCAGGATAGAGAAGCTATGTTTTGGTCAGGTGACAGAGCCATTACAGTTGTTTCAGTGTGTAATGGCTCCCCGAAGTGAGGGATGGAAGGCACTGTAAGGTAACCTGGCCTCCAAGTGTTGCTCCAGGAGATCTGCTGTAGGTCCAGTATCATGTGGATGTGCTGGGAGTCTGAGATAGCCCTAAGCAGCTGAACCCAACCCAGAAATGTAAAATGGCATTAATGGATTATTTAATATTGTTACCTCAAGGTGGGGAGGAAGGGGAGGAGTAAGCACATGACACACTGAATAGGCTTTATAATTAACTTATAAATTCTGTGCTCTTTGGACAGGGATCGAGCTCCTTTTGTGCTAACATCGGATATGGCTTATGTCATTAATGGTGGTGAAAAACCCACGATTCGCTTTCAGTTGTTCGTGGATCTCTGCTGTCAAGCTTACAATTTGATAAGAAAACATGCAAGCCTCTTCCTTAACCTACTTTCATTGGTAAACATTTTATTAAATTCAATTTAGATAGACATATCATGTTGGATTGTATTAAATGCTTTTTATGCTGCAGAAACCCTTAATGCGTGCTTTCAAAAGCCAGAAACAGATGGAGTTTTTAGGAAGGTTGTAATTTGGATTTTTTTTTTTGCTTTTTTACTACCTACCTGTTTCCTGAAAACTTAAAATTAAGATGCCATAAATTACCCTGCAAAGAGTTTTTAACTGCTTATAATTCAGCAGAAATGGTGAATAACTGCTGATTATAAGTAATTGTTGGCTATCACTGTTAGCATTTAGTAATTTAGTGCAGCTTGAAATGAATTTGAGGGTCTAAGTTTTAATAATTTCAATGTAAAATAATATTGGGTTTATTGCATTGAAACTGTAAATCTTAATTTCTTGTAGATGCTTTCTTCTGGGTTACCAGAACTAAGTGGAATTCAGGACCTGAAGTATGTCCAGGATGCTCTCCAGCCCCAAACAACAGATGCAGAAGCTACCATTTTCTTTACAAGGTACTAGATAAGTGAAAACGAAAATATCTCCCAGCATCATCCTCTTAATGGCAGCTTTCTGCTATGAAAAAATGCGCTAAAGATGTTCACAAACACGTGTAGAAGGTGAATAGTTACACTGCAAATTATGAAATGCCAGTTAACCAGTGAACGACATAAATAAGTTTAATATAAGATTAATGCTTGCACTAGAATACTTTGCTGCCTTTAAGAGTGACCTTGTGCTTAAAAACTTGTTTGAAATACTGAGAGTAGATAATTCTGTCTGGCTGTTTTGAGACAGTGCATATAATAGGAACCTCACAATGCATTGTAAAGAAGCTCTCTGTTTCAAGAGGTGCTTTTGCCCACTGGAGAGGGAGGGATATTGCTCCACTGCAGCAAGTGGGGGTGTAACTGAGTTGTTGCCATGTGTTACAAGATGTGTCATTGTACTTAATTTTAAAAATATGGGAAAACTGCATTAGTATGCATGCAATTCAGAATCATAGAATGGTTTGGGTTGGAAGGGGCCTTTAAAGGTCATCTAGTCCAACCACCCTTGCCATGGGCAGGGACATCCACTAGATCAGGTTGCTCAGAGCCCGGTCCATCCTGACCTTGACTGTTTCCAGGGCTGGGGCCATCTCTCACCTCTCTGGACAACCCGTTCCAGTGTTTCACCATCCTCATCGCAAAACATTTCTTTCTTCTATCTTGCCTGAATCTACCCTCTTTCAGTTTAAAACCATTGCCCCCTCTCCTATCACTACAGGCGCTACTAAAAAGCCTGTTCCCATCTTCCATAAAAGCCCCCTTTAGGTACTGGAAGGCTGCTATAAGGTCTCCCCGGAGCCTTCTCTTCTCCAGGCTGAACAGCTCCAATTCTTTTAGCCTGTCTTCAACAGAGAGGTGTTCCAGCCCTCATAATTTTTGTGGCCCTCCTCTGGACCTGCTCCAACAGGTCCATGTCTTTCTTGTACTGAGGTCTCCAGAGCTGGATGCAGTATTCCAGGTGTTTTTTACCAACTCTCGAAAGCCTTCACTTCTTGGATAACAGCATATTCCAAGGTTTGGATACTGAATCTTCTATTAAATGCTGATACAATGCTATTTGTATAGCCCAGTGATCACTTAGTTTAAAAACTGTTTCTCTGCCAGTAAGAAACTGGTTTTTATTATTCTTAGTCTTAAGTCTGATTCATTGACTTGTGGTTTTTGAAGTTGTTTTTTTTTTCTAGGTTGATTGAATCCAGTCTGGGAAGTGTTGCCACAAAATTTAATTTCTTCATTCACAATTTGGCTCAGCTGCGTTTCTCAGGTCTACCTTCTAATGATGAACCCATTCTCTCATTTTCTGCTAAAACGTACTCTCTTAAACAAGATGGCCGAATCAAACAAGTGTCTGTGTTTACATACCAGAAGAGATATAACCCAGATAAATACTATGTAAGTACGTGGAATCTGTTTCCACTCAGTGAAGATACTGTGCTTTTTCTTCCAACAAGATACGTTCTCCTTTTTGCCATAAGTTCAGTACTTAATCACGGAGTCCAGGGGAAACTTGCCTTGGTTTGCTTAAAGTAGCTAATGTTGAGGTAGACAACTTAGGTTCCTTTTATTGACAGAGTTTTAATAAATACAGCTGTAGATACTTACTCATTCAGTTAGGCACTGATGTCAGATTTAGGATGAGCTGAAGAGGTCTCTGAAGTCTGACTGCATTGACTATAAAGAGAGCCTAGAAACCTACACCAGTGTTGACACCCAAGACTGAGCCCCACTGTGGATGACTTGAAAGTAAAAACAAAATCTGCAATTGCAATCTGGATCTTATTGAGAATGGGTGGGCTCGCTTGCTTTCTGGGGAAGAACAGAGTTGTATTGGCTTTGGCTGGGATGGAGTTATTCATCATTATAGTGGCCCGCATAGTGCTGTGTTTTGGATGTTTAACTGGCACTGTGTTGAGAACACGATTGGTTTGCCTGTTCTGAACAGTGCTTGTGTGGCATCAAGGTGCTCTCTTTTTCTTCCACTTTGCCCTTACCCCCTTGCAGTGAGTGGGCAGGGAGTTGGGAAGGGATACAGCTGATCCAAACTGGCCAGAGGGATATGCCATAGCGTATCATGGCTGGGCGATAAAAAGGGGTAAAAGAAGAAAGCGGGCGATAGAAGGGCGTTATCTTCCAAGGTGACTGTTGCTTTGGGACTGGCTGGGCACGAGTCTGCTTGTGGGAGGTGGTGAGAGATTGTCTTTGCGTCACCTCTCCTCCCAAGGACTCTCTTTATCTCAACCCACAGGTCTTCTCACTTTTGCTCTTTTTCTTTCCCTGTCCCATTGGTGAGGGGGTGGGAGTGAGCAAGCAGCTGTGTGGGTGCTTAGCTGCTGCCTGGGGTAAACCAGCCACAGGAGTGATAGAGTACAGATTGGTATTTTTAGCATCCAATAATATTCTTCAAAATGAAGACGCTTCTTGAGAAGGATCTAGAAGGAAGCAGAAAGAACACGAGTAGTGTTGGTGAAGATAATTTTAAAAACTGGGGATTTGAGTCATGTTTATGGGCTTATGTAGCCGCCTTCTGTAAAATGGCTCCTTCCTGAATAGGAGTCATTAAGTCAAACCCTCGGGTTGTATTTGGTCCTGCTAAGTAAAAGAATCACTTTCTGTATTAATGCACCTGTGCTCCTACTCAGTCTCCCTAGAGGCAGCAAGCATTACAGTTTGCCCTCAGGATTTTGATAGATCTGGGTTACAATTTAAGACTTGTATTAATATTCATATTTCTATGCACATGTGCAACCATCTTTTTTTTTTTTTTTTTTTTTACTCCTCAACTGCTGTTTGTTGGTCTACAATAGTCATCTCAAGTTAAATTTTCCTCAAGTTGTCTAAAAAGTGAGCTGTATCGATATTTGCAATGCACATCAATTTCCAAGTTGTATTTGCTGTAAATGTCTTAAATCTGGTAAGACACCAGCTAGGGAAGGTAGAACAAAGCTGAATAATGCTAGAAGTGAGGAAGAGCTTTCTCATTATAAAGCTCTTCTATGAATCACTATATTATAAATGTATTTCAGGACTCCTGGTCTAAGCCAAAGCAGCCTCTTATCTTCCAGGACATTGTGGAGATGATATCATTTCTTTCTGTCTGGATTTTTAAACCGCTTCCCAGTTGCACACTTTTTAAATATACATTTGACTCATCTGCCCATAAAATGAGTCCACTGAATTGAATTTTCTGTGCAGTTTCTCAGCCTTCGTTTCCCTTTCATAATAATGCTAATAGCTTTACCCTGGGATTGTACCCCCAGTATTTTTAAAAATGCCTTTTGTGTAATGCAGTACACTTGCATTTGCCCACCAAAATATTACTAAAAGCAGAATCCTTTAGAATTTTGAGAGAATTAGGTTGAAAAAAAAAGAGGCATTAGTTTCCTCCATAGTCCACACCTGAAAAATTCTGTGGTAGTTCTGGCCCTACAGATACTTGTCTAGATGTAATGCTGCATTGATGTGTTAAAATTTTATACCCTTGATATATGTTAGGAATTTACAGGGAGGCTTAAAAGGGAGAATGCAGACAGCTTAGCCTTAACTACCTTTATCCTCCTGTCAGATGTGGATCTGTGTTACGGGAAGATCATATGATGCTACTTTGCATTATGGTAAAGCTATTTATAATTCTAACTCTACTATAAAATGCAAACGCTGTTACTGGAATACGTATGCAGGAGTAGAGTTACCATAATAGAAATAGCTAATTGTTAAGAAAATTAAATTCTTAAGTCAGTTCTATAATATTTTTAGTACTTTTATCTTTGTTTTTTGGTGTTTTGGGCAGATCTACGTAGTGAGAGTTTTGAGAGAAGGGCAAATTGAGCCATCGTTTGTCTTCCGAACATTTGACGAGTTCCAGGAGCTCCACAACAAACTTGGCATTCTCTTTCCTCTTTGGAAGTTACCAGGGTATGTTCTTAACTCACTCATCACTATTAAAACAGAAACAACAAAACTGCTCCCTGCTGACTGGAGGAAGAAATAGCTTGAAATGGAGACAAAACTGCTGAGGGGCAAACTAGACCTCCAAGTTGGCAATTAAGGGAGAAAACTGCTGTCTCTAAGTTTTAAGAAGGAGAGTCAGAGGAGCAACTCAGTGTCCTTAGTCTGTGTGTTGTATCAATTATAACAATTACCTATAAATGTTTCCCTGACTCTCTATAACGTCGTTACCTATCAGTGTGCTGTGTTTCCATTCATGATTGACATTTAAAAAAAAAAAAAAAAAAAAAAAAAAAAAAGGATATCAGCACTTCAGGATGGAAATTACAGTGAAATCTACCTGTACTTGCTTCAGAGAAATTAGCTGAAAACTGTCTTGTTCTTCCCTTGCAGCTTTCCTAATAAGATGGTTTTGGGAAGAACACACATAAAAGATGTAGCAGCTAAAAGAAAAGTGGAGCTCAACAGCTACATACAAAGTCTGATGAACAGCTCTTCAGACGTGGCAGAAGTGAGTTCAAATAACTTAAGCAAATCTAGTGCAAGTTTTCAGACTTCGGTGCTTGTTAACGCTTAACTAATATGTAATGTTTCTTTCAAATTTAGTGTGATCTTGTTTATACTTTTTTCCATCCATTACTTCGTGATGAAAAAGTGGAAGGAATAGATGGAATAGCCAGACCTACAGGTAGGTAATGTTTTTTGGGTGGTGTTTATAAATTAGATGACCTATAGTATGACACCTTTACAATGTGATTTTTTTTTTTTAAAAAAAGGCTTTTTTAGATCAACTGTAGTTTTCCCTCGTTGAGAACTTTGCATTGCTCTCTTTCCAAATATGCCTGCATATTTGGACATAAAAAACATATGAAAAGGACATAAAAGGACATAAAAACATATAAAAAACTGCAACAATGTATGTGATTGCTTGGGCTTGCTCATGGCTTGACTAAATTACTCAAGTTTTTAGTCTAAACCTCCGAATTGGTTCTTAAAAGAGAATGCAAATTTCTTTAAAACCTATGACCTTGGCCTCTTATTAGGGAAGTAGGAATACAATCAGAAACTGAAGTTGGTTTAAGGCTTGTATTTTTTTCCCCATATATAATACGTCAGTGTAGTATTGATGAAAATATAAAAATATTACAGAGGAAATATTTATATATTTTTTTCAGATACAAGTCCATCAAGTCCTACCTCAGGCAAAGTGGGAGGAGAAGTGAAGCTATCCATATCATATAGAAATAGCACTCTATTTATTATGGTGATGCACATTAAAGACCTGGTAAGTAGAGCTAATGAGCTCGCTACCAAAAAATGTTTCCATTTTGTCAATTATCTTCTTGACTTAGTTCTATCATTCCTGCATCAATCTATCTCTGCCTCCAAATGTTTCAGCTGACAAATTAATTAACTGCTGCTTTTGGTTATCTTGATTGCAAAGGCTAGATACTTGAAAATAAATATTCAATGAGGTGTACATTAACTAGTTTTCTAACTTGTCTTGGTTTTGCATTGTAGGTTACAGAAGATGGTGCAGATCCAAATCCCTATGTAAAAACATACTTACTTCCAGATACGCACAAAACGTCCAAACGGAAAACCAAAATCTCCCGGAAGACAAGAAATCCAACTTTCAATGAAATGGCAAGTTAAAATTTATGTAGTAACACCCTGTGGTTTGCTATTGTCTCTTATTCTAAGCAGTAATTAAAATATTGTCTAAAAAATTTGCTAAGATATATAAATGTAGAAGAAACTTGTTTTGAAAAACTTTGTGCCCTGTTTAAAAAAGAAAACAAACAAACACACCCCAAAGTAACTGAGTAGGTAAATGTACTATTGCAAGTAAGCAGAATTTTCTCAGACTGCCTCTGAGGAGTGATGAGGAGAAGGAAAGGAGCTTTAAAACTAAAGATGCCCTGCCCTGGATTCACTGACTCATAACATGGAGAAAAATTAATGCAGAAGTCATGGCATGTAAACATTGTTTCTATCTAAAAACACTAGTCCTTTTAAATACTTATCATTGGGAGCACAAAATAAAAGACGGATGTACTTTAGCTCATCCTCTGAGAAACAAATTGAATGGCCTCAGTGTATAGCTAAGATACCTCCCTCTGGCTAGGTGGTCAGAAGAAAGAGCAGTCTGTGTAACTTCATTTGGATAACAAAAAAATTCTTGACTTCTTATCTTCTAGCTTGTGTACAGCGGATATAGCATGGAGACTCTGAAACAGAGAGAACTTCAGTTAAGTGTGCTCAGTGCAGAATCGTTACGTGAGAACTTTTTCTTGGGTGGAATCACGCTCTCACTGAAGGACTTCAACTTGAGCAAGGAGACTGTTAACTGGTATCGACTAACTGCTGTACCCTACCTGTGAACTCCTTCCTACACCTGAGTAAGACCAGAACAATTGTATTCACTTGTGCTTTGTGCATCTTCCTACTTGAAGATAACTTGTACATCTTAAAATAAGAGACTCTGCATTTCAACAGATATGTTGGACCAATGTTCATGTAGCCTAATTTGGAGGATTTCTAGAAAACTTGGTTTATGCTTACACGATGTTATCAAAGCATCATTATAAATGTTTGAGATGTGGGTAAAGGAAGGAAGGGGTTTTTTAACAACCCATGAAAGCAAGAGGAACAGTTTGACCATGCTGGTTGGTTAAAACCATAACTTAATCATTAGGCCTGTGGATATAGTGCATTTTTGCTTTAAGTTTTTCTTACCTGTGTTGTGTCATCCATGGCATGATGCTGGACAACATCAAAGAAATGACACATTTAGGATTACATTCCCACTACTAACTAGACATCACAGAAGCAGCAATGGGTGAAATTTTGGTGGCTTCACACATACCTGTAGAAATGAAGGTCGAAGGGCTGGAAAAATTCCTTAGCGTTGCATTTAATCCCAGATTCATGCTTCTCTAAGACTTACTGGAGTGAGTGCCAATAATGGAAGTTGTAAATAATGGTGCCTTATAATTCAAATGCTTCTCTTTTACCTCATCTCTGGTATTTAAATATGTATAGATGTTAACTTTCAGCTCCTTAAAAAGGGGAAATGTTCTCATATTTGATACCTTGCAGGTCCTACTGGAAGTCTCTTCCTGACGTGTTACTTACAAATAACATCTTCATATCTAGTGCAACTTACATGATCTTTTTCCAACCCATCTTCTACCCACCATCTCCAAAACCAGAATGCGATGCCGTAGGAGTCATGCCCAGCTCCTCAGTGTTCTGAAATGTCTTAATCCAAAGTAGCATCTGTACCTCCTGGTAAAAGAATGGCCTCTGGTTAAAAAGCACAACTGCTGGATGAATTGCAAGCCAGAAATGAGTTGCATTAACAACTTTAGGAGAGGAACTTGGTCACTTTTTTTAACAGCTTACAGCAACACTGTTTCTCACTCCTAGTAAGAATTAATTCCACTAAAAATAGTTAATTCTGAGAAAGATTAGATTTGAACTATATTGTGACAGTGGAGAACAAATGTCACTTAATATCTTCTATTAATACCACTGGCTACTTAATTAGGTGTTTCTGCACAACAGGTGTAGCTTTTTCATTTACCTTCCTCTGTTTTAGGATGATCGTGTTCTGTCTAAACAAAGCTATAAAGTTGCACGCTTCTCTTTAGTACTAAATCTTGAAGCAAGACAGACTATCACCACTGCCTAGGAGTGAAATTTTAAAGTAAAATATGCAACTATGAATGAAGACACAATACAGGGAAAGCCTTCTGTCTACCCAACACTAAAAACCTATTTCATAATCTAATTTTCCTTCCCCTGCTACTGACCAATCTCCCTTCAATACAGAAGAGAGAAGTAAACTTGAATCTCCTGGTGCCTAAAATATTCACGGTCCAAGTTGGTAGGAATTATTACAAATAAAAAGCTAAGAATATCTTGAATGTTAGAAACTGGGTTGATTTAATGGGCGCTAACACATCCCAGTTTTATTAGGCATCTTCTGCATACTTTTCATTTAGTAATATAGCCTGTAAATAATAAACTATATAACTAACTACATATATTTCCTGCTCACTTGATGCTTTTGAGACTTACTCCATTCCATCATTAGAATCACAAGTCACTTAAACACAGGAAAGTAGACTACTGTTTTTGTGAAACGTTCCATTGTGAAATAAAATGAAAGCAATATGTACTGCCTTTTTTGCAGTTTGCTATTAAAGCACAGTGTCTTACAGCACAAAATACAAATAAACTAAAATCATTTTAAAAAATGATTTGCAGTTTTAACAGGTGTCTGGACTCTGAAAAAAAAAATGTATAGTACTGTATTATTGTTAGCACTTGTCCTGACTTCTGATATCCTCTTCATAGCTTAACTCATTTTGTGCCTTTCCCTTCCTCTTCAAAATAGTCACTGGCTGAAGCTTTTTATGGTCATGGATTTTATTTTGTCTGTGGGATCTGGCCTTGGCCTCTCCTCACACGTAGAGGAACCGCACCGAGCTTGCACCTCTTTGCACTACTCTCAATTAAGAAAAAAGTGATTGTTGCAATAAGACTTTAATGTACTACATAAAAAAAAAAAATAAATAAAGGATGTAAAAGAAGAAAATATACCAGTACACTAAGTAGCTTGAAAACCTAGTTTTAACAGCTTTTTGTATCTTGTTTAACGAAAAGAAAAAAATCTTTTATGCAGCCGGGCATATAACTGTGTCTATGGACCTTGTTTTGGTATTTCAGAGTAACAGCTTGCGCCAAGGCCTCTTCCTTTTCTCTGTTAACCTAGAACTTTGCACTGAAACTTTTATTACTGCCTTTTTACGACCTTACGGCTCCCTGTCTCTGGACGCACGTGCGAGATCTTTGATAAAAACTTCTTTTCTCTATTTTTTACAACTCGGGCTGTGTAGAGCTTCCCCCTCAGCTGCCTTAAGGCGCCGGCTCCGTCCCCGCCGCACTGTGACCGGCCGCGGCACGCAGCCAGAGCCACGGCTTCCTCCGGAGGGCTCTCAGAACCAAATACTCTCATTAAACGAGCTCCCTAATAAAGATGTACAATACCGCCCTCCGTCGGGTTAAATGTGACCCCGTAACTGTCCTGTAAGCACATTAAACACTATTCTGAGGAAAAATAAACTCGCTGTGGTGTCTCTGTCCGTCCCTTCCGGCGCTCTGAGGCGCGACACCGCCGGGCGCGCGGGACAGGCCGGGCCCTCCCCTGGCGGCCTGCGCGCGGCGGCCTTGGCGCCACTGATTGGCTGGCGTGAGGGGGCGGGGCTAGGCGCGGGGACGCCACTTCCTGCTGGAGCGGGGCGGAAAGGGCCGCTGCCTCGCGTCGCTCCTTCTTTCTCGCCGCCGCCATCATGGGTCGCATGCACGCTCCCGGGTAAGGGGCCGCGGATGGGCAACGGGGCCGGCCTGGGCCTGCTGCGGGCGCTAACGGGGCGTCGCGGAGAGGTGCGGGAGCAGAAGGGCTGCTGCGGGAGCAGTGCGGCGTCTGGGGATGGGATGGGCGGGAGGTCGGTCGGTTAGTGGCTGCGGAGGTATGGCGGTGGGGAGGAGGGAGAGCTGGCGGGCGGCCCTGAGGAGGGGGTTCCCTTGGCCGGACTTGGGCAGGGACGTGGTTATGGTGCCCGGGCTCCTGTTCTCGGCGCTGCCCCGGTGCGGCCTGTACTGGTGGCGGCAGTGGCGCGGAGGGAGGCCGCAGGCCTCGGCCGTCGAGGCTGGACGCGGCCCTGGGGGAGGCGTGATAGGCCGCTTGTATCGGGGCGGCCTGGCCTGTCGGGTTCTGCTCAGCGTGCGCTCTGCTTCTTCCCCACAGAAAGGGCCTGTCCCAGTCGGCCTTGCCCTACAGACGCAGCGTGCCCACGGTAAGTCACGTACCCGCCCGGGGTGGCGGCCTGGCGGCGGTCAGCGCGGGGGGCCGTCCCCGTAGCGCAGCTTGGGAGCGCCCGCCGGAGGAGAGAGCCGAGAGACCTGTGATATTTTGTGTCATCGTTTTTAAATTCTGGCCTGATAAAATGATAGCTTATGCCCTTTACGATACTGAGGAATCAAGTATCTTTTCTTGGCCAGATGATTTGTTGGGCAAAAAAATTCTTTTCCTCTCTGTACTTCCCTTGAAGTGCTACTTCCAATTACTTTTAGTCTGTATGCTGGTAATTTCAGGAGGTTAAATTGCTCTCTTCACACTCGAGTTTGGCCTTTGCCATTGTGGAATAAGCCCACTGTTTTCTAAAGTATTTACAGCAGCAATTTGCTGGTCACAGAACTAACTTTATTAATTCCTGCGTGCCCCTTAGTTGATTCAGGGTATTTCCACGTAGAAGGCTTACTTGTCAGCTAAACGAGCTGCCTCTTGCTTTGTAAGAGTGTGGTTTGGAGGATCTATCTGTTGGCAGAAAGATTGATTAATTTGTGATGGATGTGGAAAAGCGTGTACTGAAAAACAGTTAAACAGAAACACGACATCAAAGCACAAAATCTGAAAATAAAGAGATGCAATTTAAAGTAAGGTAATATGAAGCTGCTTAAAACACTGCTGATGGTTAAGCAGTTTAGTAATTTTGATAATGATTAGGATGTTCAAATGCCATAGTTGTTTGAAAAATCCTGTGTGTTTTTTGCTTACTTTAATTTTTATTCTGTTTTGAATTGTATAAATTCTTGCTGTGCTTTTTTGTTTCATACTGTGACAGTACTAAAAAGGGAAAAAAAACCCAAGTAAACAAGTTTCTGTATCATTAGAAATACAATTTCAGTTCTTGATTGTTTTTTTCAAGCGTTGCAAAGCATCTATTTTTTCCATCTATGAAAAGCTTCATATAGCTAGCCTATGTCTCTATTAGGCACCATTCATCAGTTGTTTGGGTTTTTGTTTTTTCTAATTTTCTTTAGTGGCTGAAACTTACTTCTGATGATGTAAAGGAACAGATCTACAAGTTGGCTAAAAAAGGCCTGACTCCCTCACAAATTGGTAAGGTTTATTAACAACTCCTAAGTGGAGACAAAACATGTTTTTCTGACTGTAATAATGTAATTGTTTCTTCAACCTATGTTAAATGGCATGGTAAGAAAATACGAATTTCCTGATGTACCTGTGTATTCACGGTATGGATACCACTAAAAACATAATATGTCTCATTCTTGCAAGAAGCGTATTTGGTGAAGCAGTTGAGTATTTTCTTTTTGAAGCTGAAAATGTGAAGCATCTGTTTGGTCCTTAGGAATGGCCACTAACAGGTGTTACGGGGAAGTTTAGTCTGCCCAGTTTCTTGCAGAAAAATTTGACATCTCATCAAGTGTTGGCAGCCCTATGTTTAGGTGCTTACTGACCTGCATAATAAACTAGTTCTTAGTAGTTTGGATCCCTCTAGAGCTCTTCTTGAGGGTATGCATGCTACAACTTTATATGGTCATTAGCTATATAGTGTAATTACGCATTATGTCAGTGATTTTATTTATTTATTTGTAATCTTGAGTGTATTTATGATCCCTATGGTACAACACTTTTTTTTTTTTTTTGAGTAAACACGTCTGAGATATCTTAGTTAACCTTAGAGAAAAGGTGATTGAATACCTAACTTTAAGAAGTCCTGTTGAAAATTTCCGAATAATATTGTAGCACTTAATGTGTTACTTGCCTAAATATGAGGGGTTGGTTAGTTGCCTGTTAAGTGCTATCTGATAAAGTGTTTCAGCTTTTATTAAATTGTGTTTTGCTCACCTGTTGCCTGCCACTCGTTCACAGTTTTGATCAGAAAGTTTTTTAATTTAGAGAACACCTTTTTTGCACATCTTGTAACCATAAGGTCAGTTCCACAAGATTCCTTTGTGTAAGGTTATTCCTTTCAATGTGTGGTGTAAATGCTTGTTTCAGGTGTGATCCTGAGGGATTCCCATGGTGTTGCCCAGGTTCGCTTTGTTACTGGCAACAAAATTTTGAGAATCCTTAAATCGAAGGGACTGGCCCCAGACCTTCCGGAGGATCTTTATCACTTGATTAAGAAAGCTGTTGCTGTTCGCAAACACCTTGAGAGAAACAGAAAGGTGAGTGCTAATTTAAGTAGGTAACTGTTTATTTTTTCAAATAATATAGTATTTATATTTACAATTTGAAAAAGCAAAGACTCCTTGTGTACTTCCTGTTAGCCACCCCCTTTGAGTAAACTTAGAGGTTTGGGGATGCTTTTTGATAAAGGAGAATGGTCTCTGTGAAAAGGGTGTTAAAAGTGCTGCTTAAACCACATATTTCTGGTCCTGTTCTGATTTTACCCTATTCATCAGACTTCGGTGATGGGAGTGTGGAGTTGATAGCAGTAGCTGTGGATTTTTTCACTCTATTAAAGCTCATCTGAATTGTACATTGCTGAGAAGTCAAAGTAGCACTTGGTCGTAATGTAACTTTCTTTTCAAGGATAAAGATGCCAAGTTCCGTCTGATTCTGATCGAAAGCAGAATCCATAGGTTGGCTCGCTACTACAAAACCAAGAGAGTGCTGCCGCCCAACTGGAAGTAGTAAGTCTTCTCTTCTATTAGTACTTTCACCGGGGTCTTGTAGGTTTTGTGAACGATAGGTTGGGGCTGTTATTCAACGGGTGAAGAGTGTTTTATGATACCTATATATAGGTAAACCAGGCAGCAAAGAGTAGGGATTTTCATAAATGTGAAATCATAAATTGGTGGAACTTACTCCTGGGTAAAATGACTGTCACGACGTTTGGAAAAAATCATTGTCTCAATGAGTGAGGTCACTACTAGATAACTTTTGAAATCCTTTCACAAACTGCCATTTCTGTTCTTACTCGGATACTTTAATAGTTCACATTACTTTAAAATAATGAGAAATGGCTTCGTTGTGGCAAAAATGAAAGTTGCTGGGAGTTTTTCTCTAGGAAAATTGAACCAATGTAGGAATATTCCCGTAGATGTCAGGGTGAGCTTTTTTTCTGAAAAGATGCACGTTCAGCTACCCAGGTTTTTTAATATATATGGTTTTGCTCTGTTATCCTAGTATTTGTATTTTTAAATGAAGGGTAAAATTTTTCTTTATGCCATAAAAAAAATCTAAACAGGTAGTGATTAAGCTCACGACCAGTAGTTAAAGCTTTCAACCAAAACACTGTTTTTCACAACTGGTTTGAAAAACTGCCTTTGCAATTAATATTTCTCTCTTTATCTTTTTTTTCTTTTTAGTGAATCATCGACAGCTTCTGCCCTGGTTGCATAAGAGCTGGCTATGACTTACTGAAAAAATAAATTTTCATTAACTAAGTTTGTGTTGTCTCTAAATGGTTGGTGTCTTACAAACTTGTGCCCCTTTGTGGGAGCTGCGTGTGAATGGGCAGTTTGCAAAGTGAAGCAGGTGTGTGGCCATGACTTCCCTGCTGCTGGCATCAGCTCTGGGCAGTGGTTGTTGCTGTTCCAGAGCAGCTGTGCAGTTTGTGCCTGTCCTTAAGCTGCATTTTTGATCCGATAGCCTCAAGTTTGTAAAGTGACCTGGTCATTCACAGCAAATGTATTTTATTGGTGTGGGGCCATGCCTCTGTGTGTCCTGCAGGAAGAACCAGGGAAGAAAGCAATGACAGAAGGAAGAATGGGAAATTCAGAAAATGCAGAAAGGATTAGGCAGGAAGAGGGAGGGAAAGGGAACAAAATTGGTGAGGTTGATGGAATCATTACAGGTAATGTGGATCTGCTCCTTGTGCAGAAGGTTTAAGCAGACCTCAGCCAGTTCCTGACAGTAACTGCTGCTGTCATTTGTAAGTAATTTTAAGAACAGTCTTTAAAATTTGGGTAAATACAGACAACTGGCTCTCAGATGTTACGTTTGTACTGAGGTATTTTTCACTAAAGCCAAAGGGCTGTGGCTCTTGTATAGTCACTGATGCTGAAGTTGTGCCTCCAGGTTCTAAATAGGTTTGATTCTCTCTTTTGGGAGAAATGTGGAGAACAGACTGTCAGCTTTTTCCTTTTTTAGGAGAAGATTATAAATTGAGTTACTCTGAGCTGTTCTGACTCTTGTTTCTAAGCCTTGGTACGTTACTTAACTTTTGCCATATTAAAAAGTTCAGTAAGTTTAAATGAGCCGTAACATTTTTATAAAGTGTAGTAGCTACTTCCTAGATCATAACCAGTGGAACATGGTAATGTCTGGATTTAATTTTTGCAGAAAGACCTTCTGACCTGATTATGAAGCTAAATATAGACTTGTGATTAAGAAGGTTCTAAAAGAAAAGCACTTTGAACTCTACACTGCTACTGTCTGGTCCATCTTAAAAGTTAAATTGCCAGCATCTATATATGCTTAAATACTTGCCACCTTTTTTCAGAGCTTCTAGTGATTCCTTGCCAGGGATAACTAAGAGTTCTGGGATGTAGATGTTATAAACCACTTTCATGATATTAAAAAAAAAAAAAAAAAAGGCAAAAAGTCTCTGTGAATTTTTTGGGAGGTATGCTCTGCTAAAATGAAATTGGAGATTCTGGAAAGAACCTGGTGCTTCTGGAGAGCTGCTTCTCCAGAAGCAGAGGAGGGTGTATGTAAATTTTATAAACCCCTTTTATGAAATTAAAAAAAAAAAAAAAAAAGGCAAAAAGCTGCTGTGAATCTTTGGGATGTGAGGTATTGCCAGCTGAAAAGCACACAGATGCTTTCACTGGCATTGTCCTGAAATAGCTGTATGTAAATAATATAAAGTACCAGCAGATGGCACTTGGAAACATTTAGTGTTTTTAAAAGTTTTATATTGCAAATAGTGCCGCCTAGAGATGAAGTGTGGAGGCTGACAGTCCAGGCCGGGGAACAGAAAGTAGATTGAGAGTTGTACTGCTGTATAGGTGGGAGCAGCTGATACTGTGTTTTTGAGCATGGTCATGAAGCTTCCACAGGTCTTGTGTTTCATCCTGCTGGGATGTTTTGGTCTGAACACAGTCTGTACTGTCTTTTCTGGTGCTGGTTTACAAGAGGGGCTGAAAGCAGAATTATCCAGGGAGAGGTCCTGGGCTTACAGTCAGGTCAGATCAGGTGTTGGAGGTTCTCCTGAGGATGAAGAGAGCGGTCCACCCTATTTACTGCCTGTAGAACTTGGCGATCTCCCGTGGGAGCACAGTAAGGGTACCGTGATTGCACTGTTAGGCACACACCTTCCTGCTACCTACACTGCTAAAGAGTCTGTATTTCCTGTCAGTGATACAGGCTAGCTTAAGTAAGTTGTCCGTTACTGAGATAGTCCCTTGCCCCTTTGATTACCAGAAGAGGTGCACCATCAGTTGAACTCGTACTGTAGCTTCCCTTTGCTTGAGGGATGCAGTAATAATAATAAATCCAGATCTGAAAGTAGTTGCCCAAAAGTAATTCTTCACATGAACCTGCACAAACTGTCTCTGCCCCATGGTTATCTCCAGGCACCACCCTGGCTCCCCTCTCCCCAGCAGCCTGGGCAGTTGTGCAAGCCTTGGGCCTCGCTGCCCTCTTGCTTTCTCCTGTCACAGTGCCTCATCTCCTCACAGGTTCTTTTGCCTTGGCTTAACCTTACGAAGATATTTTCCTATTTCTGCCTTATTCCCAGCAGTCTTTTCTGATTTTTCAGTGTTGCTCTTTTTGTCCTGCAGTATTTTTTGTTCTCCCTGCAGGTACAAATCTGAGCAATGATTTATTTAAATTTTATCTCCCCCCACCCTCCCCTTACCCACAGCAAGTCTAGGTCCACGGGGGCCCACTCGGCAGCCACACGGTGCTTTGCTGCTCTGTACCAGGTCTGTTTGTGGGGTGAGCTGGGTTCACAAAAGCTTCCCACTAGCCTTCAGCCCTCACCAGCTCTGCAGCTCTTCCCAGGCTGTGGCAGAGGCTGCTTCCCTTTGGCTGATCAACAACTGGTTTGAAGTCTGGCTGCTGAGGCCCCCCTTCCTCCTGCAGAGCCCCTGCCAGCCGTGGTTGTCTGCCATTCCCTGGGAAGGTTCGTTGTAGGGTTTTAGGAAGAACAATAATGATTCTTGCTGTCACTGCTGGGGAGAATTGTTTTCCTTCAGGTCTGAAGCATTGAGTTCTTTGGATGTGACACGGGGAGATGAGAAGGGCATTCTGTGGGTTCTAGGTTGGGTTTTCCACATCAGTCAAGCCAATTTTCTTCTGTCCCTTTAGGTGACCCTGATTTGAGTCAGCTAGGGCAGCATTCAAATGTGTGAACACCACATTTTCTTCCCTTCTGCAGTCCATCTCAGAATGGGAAGTCTGGAAAGGTGAGTCTTTATTCCAATGGTTGCATCAGTAGGTGATTGATGCCATGCACAGTTTCTTTGTTTTTAGGAAAGAGTTTGAGAAGCGACTGTTAAGTATGGAAAAGATTAACCTGACAGGGATTTAAGGGAAAGCTTTGATTCAGTCTTGTCCAGAGGACACTTTGAGTGCTAGATATTTGTTTGTCCTGAAGGATCCTGGGGTGTGTGAACGGCTTCCTCGTGGAGGCAAATAAACCATCTTTTACCTCTGTGAATTTTTCTAGACAGTTCCCATTTACAAGTGCTTCCGTGAAAAATAAGAAACTTCTGGTAATTTATTTCAAGTAAGGAAACTTAAACACCAGTTAGTCTGCTGGTAAGTCACTACCACTGCTGGAAACCGTTAATTTCTCTAGCTGAAAAGAGTAAAAAAAGGTCAACCAACTCATAACAATCAGAAAAGGCAAGAAATTATTTGGGTTTGTAAATGTATGGCTGCAAATATATGCTTTTCTGCCTTTTCTGGACAACAGCTTCTAAAGTGTGTTTTCAGTTGCATTTTCTGCCAGTGAGCTTTTTAGTTTTTGGCTCAAAATCACCGCATACAGGCGAATCCCAAATAGCAAGATGTGAGGGGAAACTTGTACTCTGATTTTTCTGAGTGAAGGTTTGTGTGTCACTTTCTTCCACTGTTTTCAGTGTCACTTACAGATGATGAAAACCAATGTAGTTAAAAAGCATTGCACGTGCTTCTCAGAACTCACGGGCCGGTTTCTCTCCCTGTTCCCATTTGAGTAAAGAGCAGTAGGTCCTACTGAGTTACCAAAGGCAGGTTTGGTGCTCCAGTAGCTCTGGGATAACTGGTGTTTCTAGCCTAGGCCAGTGCTGCTTCGTGTTCAGGCAGTTGTTTTGTTTCCTTTTCAATGCTGGGATCAAACTCGTGAAAAAATGCGGGCTGCTGCTGGGAAGTCCCTTCAATAACGCTGCATCATTTGCATGACAATACATCCTCATCGTGCCCTGGTAACCTCCCTCAGCCAGCACATACCTTGGCAACAGGAGAGGGTTCAGCTATGCTCGCTGCACAAATGGGATGGCTGTGAATGTCCTTTTCTTGCTCCCCAGGGATTTTTGGACATACTTGCAGTTGGATAAATGAAGGCTTCCCTCTTTCCTCTCCTGCTTTTGGGATAAATTTTACTTCTGGTTAGAAATCTATAACCCTTGCAATGAACGGTGTTGCTGACTAAGTGTGAGTTCTTTTCCTGTCACTACAGGATTTATTAAAGACATTAACCAGCACAGATGCAGTAACTGGAGCTGAATCGATATCAAAGGTTCATGTTAATGGCATAGCAATACTAATACAAATATTAGATACGACAAAGAATGGTAGCCTTGTCCTACAGGGCTTGGTCACTAGAGAAGAAGTACTGGCAGTTAATTTCTGGAGGCTTGCTCGGTTCTGAAGACAAAAGGAAGAGAAGTGCAGCCTGTTATATTAACCCCCCAGCTTGAGAAACTGTGTGACAAGTAATTACGTTGGCTGTGCCTGAGGCAAGAGGTGTACCTACATTAAAAGATCACCTGAGTTTTCTAGCGAGTGCTGGTTTTACAGACTAATATTTTATTCCCTTTGAGGCTGCTCACTCAAGACCCCTTTTCAGGTCAGAATTCTCCTTCTTCAGAACCAGGAAGGGTCTTTCAAGTTTAGTGCAGCTGTCGGGGATCAATCTCTCTTACAGCTCCTTCAAGTTCTTTATGATGCAGATGAATAATTTCCGTAGATCCTGAGCCCTGTGTTATTCCAGAGTGGGAAGAGGGTGGCTGGCGTTTTGAACTGTGGAAGCTGTTGACTGACTGGGTGAAATAACCAGTGACAGCCATTAAAAATTAATCAGGTTAAATGAACTTGGGAAGGGTCCAAATCTCAGAGGATTGGTTCTGATGGGGAAGGCATTTGAGATTTGCAAGAAAGGGGGTGGAAACATCTCTGTGAGAAACAGGCTGAATTTTGCTTCAGCTAATTGATATATTATTTTTTCCTTTTCTCT